ACCCCGCTTCTTTGTATCCTTATGACCATACCATATCTGTACAGATAGCAATAAATAAATTTAAAAATTTTAATAGATCAGTGTGACCGACGCGAACATTTCTGTAAAGCCTCGGCTGGATAGGTTAAAAAAGGTCAGACGATTAAATTTGAACTTCCTAAACTTATTTGACCTTCAAATGAATTTACAAAAGTACTTTTTATTCTTGGTTTCTCACGGAACAGTATCAACAGTTCTTTTCTTCAGGGCGAAAAAATCTAAGGATCTCGAAAATGTTTAAATCCTCCCACGTGCATGGAATCCACGTGTCCATTCAAAGTCGGTGCCTTGTACAGATCCCATCGATTCTGATATCATTTCTTTTCCAATGTCAAGGCTCACGAGCCGTCCAACCCTTCTCCAATTGCATCCTATCTATTTGGAAACGCTTCACGCGACCCCCCGGCAGGGTTTTATTGCCATCCTTCGAACCACTCTGGGAAACAAACAGCAGTTAGTGAAAACTTGTTGAATTGGATTTAAAAGTACAACTTAGTCTATATCAAATAATAAAATAAATTCAGCGTTACTATCCCTCTCAGGAAAGTTATCAAAATGTCTTACCTTCGACCTGTGTTATGGTTGACCAATAACAAGCACAAATTTTATTTATATTTTGCATTAGGGATCGGAAGTTAATATCTAATATGTTTTCCTGAAAATAAATTTAAATCTATATTGGAAACTTATGAAAAAATTTCACATTATGCTTCGATACTGGGTTTTTGCAGTTGAATGGATGTAAGTGCTTTAGTCTGTGAATGGAAGAACCCATGTTGATGATGTGTCGTGTAACGAGCGAGATTAGACGGACCCTTAGCAATGGTCCAATCACCGACTTTAATGAAACTTTTTTTCTGGTAATACTAGGTCAAAAAATATTAGGAACCTACTAGAAATCTTATTTTTTTGCTAATGATCCCAAGGAGTCGTGAAAAAAGTCTTTTTTAATATGGTTTTCTGCCTTTGTTGTGCATATATTTCAACGTTATATATCAGTTGGTTTTTTAAATTTAGGATAAGAAAATAGAAATTTCATCGCAAACGAAAAATAGACTTTTTTGGCTGGATTCCAATTAATTAATTTGTCTGCGATGACCTGTGTTCCACTTAAAAATTCATAAATTTCTGGATTTTACCCAAATCTAGCATTATGACAATCGTTGTAAAGCTTAATTATTTGCTTTCAACCTTATTTTATTTCATAACAAGTGAGAAAAATAAGAACGAAATCAACAAAAACACTACAAACTTTTGATTTTAAATCTCCGGTTTTAATTTAATTACGTAGGCAAAAGTTATTTCATTGCGTGTAGTTTAAAGGGTTAAAATCAAACTAAAAATTTATATTCAGGGGTATTTAGGGATGCGTAAAACGAATATCGACTTTGTTCCTTACTAAACTATTTTAACTTACTTCGCTAAGTCGCTCGGTCGCTACGTCAAAATTACATTTGGCAGCCCGCGATTTTGAAAATCCAAAAAATTATAACTTTCAAATGAAAAACCGATTTACAGGAAACATTACAAGGGTTTGAAATCGTATAAACTACACTTGACGACACAAACGTCTTCTGTTTAAATAAATTAGAACGGAAGATAACAAATAAGACATTTGTGATTTTTTATTATACAACTTTGTTATTTAATGAGAAAAGCTCTATCTGACAGGAAGGCATAGAAGGAAATGAACATGGTTGACCAACTAGCCAAAAAAAAGGAAAACCTCTCACCCACGGGACCACAACTCCAGAGTGTGTTGCTTAAATTGGATCTGTAAAAATGGATTAGGAGAGAAAAACACAAATGCTGGACAAATATTCCAGGTATGAAGCTAAGAGATATGTAAATATATCAAAACTGAAGTCGAAAGAACTCTCTCTCAGCAGGCAGGATTTGATAAAAATTATATGCCTCTACACCAGCGAGTGCCATTTTAACTATCATCTGAAGAAGATGGGCAACTAGAGACATCGACACATATTTTTTGTGAATGTAAAGCGTTAGTCCGTTTACGGTGCACCCAAGGATCCGGAAGAGGCACCAAGGAAAGTGCTCGGTTTTATAAAGAATAGCGGATATTCCAAGGTATGGCTATAATCTGTAGGTGGTTGCACAACAGACCTATTTGGTTCGCAAAGGAGAAAAGAACTGCATTTTTCTCCCCCCCCCCATAAACCCTACAACTTTAAATCTCTTCAGACGCATGTTCACATGCACACACGTGCACAGAGTTGATCCTATCACTTCTCGCAGTCCACCGGCAAATCCAGCTTTTGTATTTTATAATAAATTACCGGCAGGTCTCTAGAATCACCTAGTCCGATGTTGACAATCAGGCTCAAACCTCGGTCTTATCCGTCCAGCTGCCGATGTTGGGCTCCAGGGGCTGTCAACGACTAGGTCAGCACCCAATGATATCCTAAATCTAAACCCACTCGAAAATAAATACAATCCTTATTTGCACACCTTTCATTCAATTAGGGCTGTAGAGTGATTCAATATTACGCCATCGATCTTTTTAAGTACAAATTCACGCTAATAAGTACATTCACTCTCACTATTATATGCAATAAAACAACTCTCTCCGGAATAATGGTCCCAGTACTCAAGCCCAATTCTCATATCGGTTGACATTCCTACACGCTCTCTATATAGAGCCAAGTAATGGTACCCTTCAATTAAGTGGGTAACATCGAGCAACATTTCTCTACACTAATTCTTGCCAATGCCAGGATGTGTCAACCTTGCATGGCCTATGCTTGATCGTGTCTTATCCTCTTCTATTAGTCAGATCATCCGAGGTTCACCCATCGTCAATGCTCTTGAACGAGAGGGCTTTTCTGCCAATTCGGCCCACGATGCTGCCATTTATTTTATTCATGTTTTTAATACATTTTTAGCGTCAGAGCCGGATCGCGGTGCAAATGTCCAGAAGTTGGGATTTCCCGTCCTTAACCACCTCCATCAGCCTTTTCACTATCCTCCAGACCCATGTGTCCATGTACCGTGACAACAACCACCTTTTGCAGGAGTTTTTATTTATTTTTCTCTTAAAATAGGATAAAATCTAATCATTGTTTCACAGTCAACAGAGAATAAATATTCTGCTAATAGCGTTGAATTCGGATGAATTTCAGAGGATTTGAGCATTTTTAAGTGGTATATGAACGAGAAAAATTTTTGGACCCAATGAATTCAACCAAAAATGTCTATTTTTTATAGATCAAAATTCGTATTTAATGATTTTACACTTACTACGTACTTAAACGAATTTAAATTGGTTTGTCAAAACAATTTTTTTGTCTACTTTACTCCAAATAATAAGTTTAAAAAAATCTACTTCCAATAAGACGACATTTGAAAAATGGCAAACAGGAGGGAAAATTCAAAAGGTGGGGTTGAGATGGGAAGTTAGTGTTCGAGTGGATCGAAGTCACGATAGCTCAAGTGGTATCTAGCCGAAGGTCGTGGGTTCGAATCCCGCTCGTGACACTGACTTTTTTATCTCAACTAAAAACCTTAATTAATTGAAATAAAATCTACTCATACATAATAACCTTATATTAATAACATGCATATCAAAGGCAGAAAAACATATTTTAAAAAGAACTTGGCTCCTAGAAATGAATTGACAGAAACAATCAGACACATATCTAGTATTTTTTGTCCTATCATAACAAAAAAAAAATGTTTTGGCTGATAGATGCAACATGCCGGTAAAAACTACATTTCTGAGATACTTAATCTAGAACCTTACAGTTTTAATTTCTTAAAATTAGACGATTGTTATATATAGACCATCTTCAAACGTCTAATTTCCACTTGGACCATTTTTCTAACAACTCAGACTTCCTATCCAAACTGAAATCAACGATTGAGACATCAAATAATTACAAAAGTTTGCTCGTGAGATGTGGCCTTCGGGAAATATATTCGTACTCGATTAAAAAGTTTAAAACATCTGACCGGAGTTCCACAAGGAAGTGTCCTAGGTTCGCTGCTTTGGTGAGTATAATTTTTACATTGTCGATGGCATTAAACTGGCACAATTGCTAACGAACAGCTCCTTTAATAAAGGGGAAAACCAAGCTTTAAACTTATGCCTTAAGCTTTAAACTGCCAAAAAATTGTCGATTTGGCATTCAAAAGAATAAGATTGAAAGTAGAAGTCCAACAATGTCTTTTTATTACAAACTAACTCTATTAAGTGATATGAGTTTTTATGTCATAAAGTACATAAAATTCTGTACATGCTCGTATCGTTTCAGGTTTGTGGGACCATATGATCAATAGTTACGATCTTTCATAAATAGTATCACTCTTAAAGGTTTTTCTTATGTCTTATATTCAAAAAATTTATTTTTGTCTGTTGTAAAATGTCCCAGTTGTTTGTAGCTTGATTTCCCTTATTTGACGATGAAGATCAATCCTGGGAGGGTCCGTGGGCTCTTAAAAGGGCGTCAACTGATTGCCTCGTTTATTTCTTTACGGGCCAGCAGTTTCAAACAATAGCCGGGAGAAAATTCGGGTGTGTGGGCTTCCAGTGGCTCTTTCCTTTTTCATTTACCGATCTTATTTACGCTTCCTTAAATACGCTTTAAGGGAATGTGAACGTTTTTGGTCGGATTGACGGACTGTTGTGAGATTTCGCAATGGGCACTACGAGTTGACGATGCATAGTCGTTTCCGGTCATTTTAGTCTGAATGATGGCAAGTTTGGTCTGTCAGAAGATACAAATAGCCGAACCATCACTGAATTTAAATTATTAGAAAGACAGAAATCAAATAAACTAGATTTTTTTTCATTATAAACAAAAACATATCAGCATAAAGAGGAAAAATTCAAAAGGTTGTTGGTTGAGATGAGAAATTGATGTCCGAGTGGATCGATAGATCATACCAAGACCTTAGATAAAAAGTGTAATTAATTAAAATCATAAAGAATATTTGTGTTTCAGGATGGAGGTCATGGAAGAAGGGAATTTGCTCGACAGAGTCAGCATCTTACTTCAGAGGGACAGCGCGTACTACGAGCAGAACCAAAGCGTTCTTCAGGAAGCGATTTGCAGCGGAATCGCAGGTGAAACGCAAAAAGAATCAAATCGAATTTTATCAGTTTCTTCGTTGTATTATATTTTAAAAGAATACAGATTTAAACAGAACTCATCATGGCATACATAGCATATGTTACGCACATGATCCAGTAACAATCATAAAATGAAAATTCGATGCCCCTCTGTCAAATCAGACGGAAAACGCCGTAAATATTGAGGAAAGATGATGTGAGAAAATGGGTTTAAACTGCGTAAAGTAATCCTAAGAATAGAGAGTACTATCTTAAGAAAGCATATCTCCTTCCTTTTACAAGAAGAAGGAAGCTAAATCTAAAGCTCCCCTTATAAAAAATGAAGACTTAATTTTCTACAAAGAGAAAACACATAAGCAACATTCTGCAAAGGCTCTACAAAGCATTGACCAGGATTATGCGGCAAGAACTGGAGAAACACAATGATCGGACCACTGGTCACATATGGATCAATGATACTGTGGTCAAAAACACTGAGGGAGAGACATGCTTTCCCATATACTCAGTCGTCCTTAAAAGAACAATGAGGATCTTTAACGTCCGCACCTAGCCTATTCGGCCTGATCGGACGTTTTGTTTCTTAAGATGAGAGCTGACGCACCTCCACATACGACAGAATGGTGTTACTGCAGCAGCATTGGTTTAGAGGCAGCTCAGACCCGAAGGGCCAAGACAACCTCGCTCCCCGCTTGCCCGTTCCGAATGGTCGGGTCTGCATTAAGCATCAGACCGTATGCCGTGCGCATAAGGCTACCTAAGCCGAAATACAGCAGCCTGGTCTTCCGCGCACACCCTAGGTTGAGAAGGCCACTCTACCTCCCAAAGTAGTTGGGCTTCCCTACCGTAGAAACTACCGGATCCGTTCCTGCCGCGGTTTTGTTTAAAGTGGAATTGCTAACCACCCCCTAGAGGAGACCGCCTACGGTAAAACCTCCAATCGTGCTCAGCCTACACCTATGTGCAAAGCATACTCGAGTAGGAGCATCCGATTCACTACCCGTTCCCATCCGCCACTACTCATTTTTCACCATAATCATAACGTCCTCAATCATACGCTGCCGTACGATCCGCTGTATCCCGTGAGACCGGGTATATAACGATGGTCATGCGCAAGTTTTGTGCGAAGGTCACAGATAGAAGACTGCCTCTTCTGTAAGTACCCACGGCCAACTACGAGTCCATTCCCATTGTAACAGGGGCTGAACCTGGAACATTTCTGTTACCCCGTAGTACAGATGGCTATGCACTCTCCCCCGTCTGCGCAGACAGGATCTGGTGCCCTAACTCTCGTGTGCCTCTGATAAGGCAACCGCCGCCCATGCCGACCAGAGGCCGACACGAGTACAGCATGTGCTTTATAGAGGTTGCCAAGCCCTCAGGGCTGCACGATTAACTTGCGCCCGGTCACCCCCCCCTTGTAACCAAGGGTTGGGAGGGGTCACAAGAAACAATGAAGGAACCTGGAGTGAGAAAGGGACGTGGATGAAGACACGAGGTACACCTTTCTGGGCCCCGAGCCTTAACCACATTGTACCACTCTTGATTAAGGAGAGACAGAGCAAAATACAAACTCTACAAAAACTTGCTTGTATTAGTATAACAAGGACAATGCGTACCAACCCCATTAGAGCAATGTAACTCGCCCTCGACATTTCACCCTTACCTGTTTATGTCCAGCAGTTGGCTTTTGAGAGGGCCAACAGGCTCCTGAAGGAATAATGCAGGTTCTAAAAAGGAGCAACAACAAAATTCTGGCCATAATTAATATAAATAAGAGCTATAGCAGTACCTGACAAAATGAAAAACTCAACTTTGACAGACCCTTGGCGGTCATAGATACAAAACCTTTGGAAGAAAGGTAGCCTCCAGTTTTACGAAATTGGAACCGGGAGTAGGTGAAGGGGTAAAAAAGCTGAATTATACCCCTCTAGCAAACCCTTTGAACCAATCCCATCAATTTTCCATGAGATCCATGGAAGACAACTTTCAAGACAACTCAAAAACAGGGCAGCGTTCTCACCCATGTGTCAGGACAACTAGGTGCAACGGAGTGTGTGCTTGTTGGAACTGGAGAAACTGAAGCAATGAACAATACCACCAGATATGAGGCAAGCTGAGAGATCTATAAATCTTTCAAAAAGGAAGGCGATGGAACTGCTCTCTCTCTCTCTCTCTCTCTCTCTCTCTCTCTCTCTCTCTCTTTCTCTATCNCTCTCTCTCTCTCTCTCTCTCTCTCTCTCTCTCTCTCTCTCTCTCTCTCGCTTTCTCTATCTTTCTCTCTCAGCAGCCAGGTTTTGAAAAAAAATGTAGGTCTTAAACCGGCCGCTGCCCACTTCTCTACCACCTGAAGAAGTTAGGCAAAGCAGAGACAGAAACATGCCGAGGAACCAGAGGCATCGCCGTCCACTTTTTGTAAATATGAAGCATTAACCCGATTACGGTTCAGACATATCGTTACACCAAAAATGATATGCTTATAGGAAAAAGTTCACTTTCCACGATATGGTTATAGTAGGGTTTCCTTCTATATAGATCGCTGTGGAAGAAATTTAAAAATCCTCATCAAAGTTGGGACATGAAATTGGTCCGTTTGTTTCCGCTGTTGGTCTCAGGTCGAATGTTATCGTCGCCATCTGAAGGAGTCCCTTAGGACAATAAAACGCCTCTCTCACAAAAACAGTCCGTGGAAAAAATCTTTCCCTGGAAGGTGATTACCGAATAAACGATTACCTTAATGACGATAAAAAAAATCTTTTGAATATCACAACTGCATTTTGTTCTAAAAGAAAATAAACCACTGTTGTTAATGTCGTAAAAAGTGGTCCATGAGCAGAAAGAGTCGGCATTTAAGAACCGTGGGCAATTGTTCTTAAAGAAACGAAGCAAGGACGTGAAGAATGAATTAAACCTATTTTAAACTCAGCTGTCAGATGACTAACCTTCTGGTTCGATATTATTATAATTATGATGATAAAAGGTTTATAAAAAATCATTACATTATGTATTGTTCTTTAAACTAAACGTAATGTTTCTTCTAAAACTTTAGTTTCCCCTCCCGGTTATTTTTCTTGTGCGTAGAGTTCTGTTGCGTAGATCTCAGTCGGACAATTTGGCGTTACATCTAGAGGTTTTGCTTGGTCAAAATTTGCGCTTGCCCTGCCTCCACTTCCTGTTTCATTTTAGATGGATTTATCCTTTTCCAGATGAGTTTTACAATCTAGGTACTTCGACCTTGAGAAAACCTATATTTCAATTTTGTAGAAAAAGTGCTTTTACATTATGCTTCCTTCTCTTTGTGAATAGTACTAGTGTGGGTTTGCTGGGGTTGATACAGACAAGCTTTTTTCCAATCTGAGAATATTTGAGATGAAACAGTTTGATCAAATTTGCCCTTTCATATACTAAAGGGCATCAGCATAACCAATGGTACCATATACCAAACCACCACAACCATAAGATTTGACCCCATTGAAGGATCCTTATGAGTTTTCATTATTGATGTCCTTGATCTTTTAACATTGATAATATCGCACAGCACCCGAGGTCTACGTCCTCGTAAACCACTTCATCCAAGGTTCACGGGGTGAGGTCTCGCCATTCCAGATAATAGTTACCAAGAATCCAGTATCCAGGCTTTCCGAGGTCTAGTTTCAAAGTTCGCAACCCAAAGCCGCTCCTAGATAAATCAGGATTATAAGAACAGACTGTACCAGCAGTCAGTCATATTAAGAGAGTTGAGGCAGTAATTTCATGATTATTCAATGCAGTTCTATGTTTATAGTATTCAAATTGAGCCATAAATAAGCCACTAGGCCCACCTAGACAAACTATTAAAATAAGCGTACTAACACAATGAACAAAATGCTTAACTTAGGAACCAACATTCATCACATTCTTTATTTACACCTTTCTGAAACGTTGTGGATAAAAACTGGTTGTGGTTTTTTTGAGATGACCTATTATCCCACCTTCAAGAAGGAAAAATCATAACTTTCTGAAACCTTAAATTAATTAATAATAAGCATATTTGTAAGCTAAACTCTTCTGTAAGCAAGCATCCTCATCCTTGAATCTTCTAGAATAACCCTTGACTATCAATTTGGATTCAGGCATCACCCACCATTCAGTTCGACAGTAACATCGTTTTGAGGACATCATCCCATCTTCCCTTGAGAAGAAGAAATGCTGCACAAAGGGTCTTTCACGTTGTCGAACAGGCTTTTAAGTCTGGGATCTGAGTTCGCTCTGAAAGTTAATATGTTACCACCCTTTTCACACTAACTCATCCCCAAGTACTACCTTGCCAAGAGATAATTTAGTGGTGGCCACCTTTGGTTAACAAGTTATCCACTAGATGTCTCCACTATGTCAACAATGGTTATACTACAGCCAAGTTTGCCTCTGTATATAAGCAGGGGCTCAACCTGCTAATTTTAAAGTCGTCGACAAGGACTCAACTGATACTAATTGAGCAAACCATCAGCACTAGCTACAGCAGCAAGGATTCGCACAGCATTGTTTCTCGCACTCTCAACATAAAACGTGGCTGTCCTTTTGCTTGCTACCTTTTCCCGCTGCATCAACATACATCGACATTAATCCACGTATTCCGACTTTAGTGACTGGGAGTTTTGTGGCCCTGAAAAGGCCCGGTGTTGTTTTGTAGCGTCAAGACGATGGATTGAGGCCGAGACCGTGTGCGTAGTGCCGTTGGTGGTGGTCTGTGACCGAGGTCAGGGGGCCGTGAGTCGGTTGACTCCGCAGAGGCCGAAGGTACTGGAGTGCAGGTATTAGACGAAGGGAAGCAGTTGGCGTTTATAGCCAAGTCGGCTGTGTTTAGGAGGCGAGAATCAGGCTAATGCTGCGAGTACCCTTGCTGACGTCAACGGTGTTCCATTAATGATTTGTGAGAGCTCGACGTGTCGACGAGTCTTGAGGTACAAGTGTCGTGTCGACCAGTCTGGTCTCGTTGACCATTAGTGATGGATGAGACCTCGTCGGGCTGACGAGTTTGATTTCAGTGGGGCAGTGCGCTTGCTTATATTTGGAAGGGCTCTACTCTGATTGGCTGCAGAGTGGAGGGCGAGAACATTCCATAAGTGGTAGTGGCGGTAACGGTAACTACAACTGGCCACTACACCGACTATCGGCGTTTATAGGCTACCAAAAGCGTATGGGTCGGATCATCTCATTCTCTTTGTACAAAGCAGACGCGGGTATCTCTCAGTATGCATGTTGATATCCCTTCTCATTACACAAACATACGTTGATGACACGGTCATTCTATCCCCGAACTCCTCTAACCTTTCAAGGAGACACCTAAACTGAGCAATGGTAAAAAAAATGGCAAATCAAACTTAACGCCACAAAATTCTACAACAAGGCCTTCTACCGCCAATCAATTTTAACCTCATACCTCTACATCCCAAAAACGTCATTCGTTACCTTAGGCCTGTAGACGATACAGTTTGCCTAAAAGACTACTAGATAACAGATAACTCTTCCTCAATAATAAGATTTGTAATATGTATTATACTGAAATACGATATAGAACTATGGGTTTCAGCCAAAACTTCCAAACTCCGCAGAATTCAGACCATTTAATTACAAATCCATAGAATCTTTAGAAACTCATCGTTCTATTTTCCCATCAATCGGACTCTAATTCTCACGTACAATCATACATATGCTAACACTGAATAGATCTCTACTCGATCTGATGCCATATACCATCCAATAACACATGTACCTTATTGTACCTCACGCAATGTAAAAAAAATGTAATAAGTTTATATTATCAGGAGGAGCATTGGATTTCCCTCACCACGCTTCTTTCGCTTCGGTGAAAATGGTAACCTGGTGGGAGCAACAGTACATATCCGTCTTCGGAGTGCCCTCCGGTCTAATCCACGGTTAGTCCCTTGATTAATCATAAGTTACTTCAATTCATGTGGAAAATTCCAGGGCTAGAAGGGGAAGCCGTGGCTGGCGGTAACCCGGAAGAGTTCGTTTCGACGGTCACCTCCTGCTGCAACCAGCTCATGTCCCATCTTCATAACCTCAGCCAGGAAGCCCTCGACCACGCGGATCTCCAAGTGCTCACCTCGACTCTGGGCGCTGCTGCCCTGGTGGCTAACGCTCTTTGGGTTTACAACCACGCTAAGAAGCTACCCGAGGGGTATTTAAGCAACTAAAATCACAACTTGTTAACATCGGACAGGCACCCTGCTTGAAAATGCAAACACATGAAATATTCCACTTGTAATATATGAAACGTTGTAAAATTAGCAAATATTTTGCTTTCTTTGTCCTCTTGCACAATTAACTCTCGATGCTGATAATCGAAGATCAAATTTAACTAATTGTTTTGCAAGGATGACATTCGCGAACTGCCTTAAAGAGTACCAGGGCATGAAGGAAGCACTTGCTGAGAGGGTCTTGGATCTGCATTGTCGGCTCACGTCCCTTTACGTCCTTCAGGATGCCGATTGTCTCAACTGGGAGGCGAAACACGCTTTCTTCGAGTCGGAAAGGGGTTCCTTCGTAGTGCAGATGTGGTGGCTCTATATGCAAGGTAATTTGTCACAATGGGCACAGAAGGATAGCTGAAAATAAACAAATCATCAAATTCGAGAGGAATGGAATGAACTTTTTCAGCAGTGTAGTTCGGTTATTTTCCATCATTTTGGTCTATCGATCTTTACTGTTAAAAAATTTAATGGAGTTTCCTCTGGATCATATATGCGTAACACTAAAGATGGTGAGAAGCCAAAACATCAGGATAGGCAGACCAAAATGACCGGAAAAGACCAAACAACAGGTTCGCCCAAGGTGCAGGAGGAAATTACAGATGGTATCATTCTTACAATAAAATATCTGTCAAAAATAAGATCTCTCGTAGCTTTTTTTTCTTATAAGGAAGGTATACTCTTAAATTTTAATTAGCTGCAGACATATTTGGAAATGTATAGGGACCAGGCAGGACCTCTGGAGCACCCTCCCGCCCAAAACGGCCCAACGAGTCTTTGCAGGGATGCTTAGTGAATCTTTGACTATATTCACCGCCCGATACTGCCAGGTAAAGTTTAAAAAATGCATATTCGGTCGATTCACCCGATGTATTTTCCAGGCTGAGACAAGCATGGCTAGGCTTCCGTTGATCGCGAACGATATTTGCAACATCCTGAGATGCGTGGCAGACCTTCTTCCAGGTTCGTGGTTCATCACTTGTCATAACTGTATTATAAAGTCTGTTCTCAGCGCTGTGTAGCTGCGCCAAAGAGCTGACGGGCGAGAAGACGGTCTCACAGGTGGTCCAGCACCTCCACGACAAGTGTCATATCCTCCTGACCTGCCTGCTCTTCCGAGGCGCCCCGCTCTCCACCCTGCATAAGATCTTCTTTCGAGGCTTGGAAAAAGTCGAGTGTTTCAAGCAAGTGCCTAAAGGCGACGTCTCGCCGTGGTTCGCTTTCGTTACCGATGATATCGACTACGGCACGAAGTCCGTGTTCGAACTCACTCCAAGCTCCGCCATCCTCCTCGAACTCAACATACTCAAATTTCAGCCAAACATGTCTTGGCCACTTCTTCTCAAAGTATGTCAACCGAACGTTCTGTTTAGTGCATATATAATATTATATTTGTAGTTAGTCATGATGAGAAATTGCTGGGTGGCGTTCAGGCTGATGAAACACGTTTTCAGCCACTCCTGCTTCGTCGGAACAAACGAAGGAGAGCCGAAATGCACAGGTAATAGAACAAAGAACCAGATGTGATACGATTAATCAGTGTACACGTTACAGGATTTATGTGCAACGGTGATTGCTATTTGCCTTTGAGCAGTGTTGAGCAGGCTGTCGTGCATGTGGTCGTATCCGTCGGCTGCGAGAAAGATATTCGAAACACGCTGATCCACCTGCTGGAAAGGATGGACACATCTTGGGCCGACTGTCTAGACAAAACACAAGTACATTTAAAACATAGCCGTTTTCGTTCATCTGGTCTCGTCATATATTCTATGGTTTCGCTTAACTTTGCTTCTGGAATCACTGCCAAATCAAACTGGCACAACAAACTAATTTATTTTTAGCTTAGGAAACCCTGAACCCACAAAGAAGCAACGATAAGCGGACTAAGTTATCACCCCCCAGACTTCAAGAAAAAATATCGCAATATTTATTTAGCGCTTTTTCCTAAGATATCTTCTGCCTCGTTGCCTAAAATTCCCTCATTACCTGAGACCCTAGCGTCAGGCTATCAATAGATCCAGTTTTTTAGTGTATGTGGCAATTCCAGACTAGATTTTAGTTGATCTTGTCTTCAGAGCTGCCTGGCTACCTGACAGTGTTATAATTGTTGCACGCTTGAGATATTTGTTATTAATTTCATATGCACATCTTTCACCGGCTAGTTCGGCTTATAAGAAGGTTGTTGGATCCGAGGGTCATCAGTAAGCCTCTTCATGCCCAATAACTACAGGTTTTTGTTTTATCTTTCCATTTGCTTTCTTTTTAACTATTAGTTCAAAATATAGATTTTCCTCTGATTTGTGGTGACTTCCTGTTAACTAAAGTTTCCACTAGGCATCGTCATGCTGACAATGGTAATAGCTTTCCATGCTTTACCCCTGTTTATACATACAACCTGCTTAAAACTGATTTGGCAAGATCTCAACCGTCATTAATGGAGCAAGCCCCAAACTCTAGCTACAGCATCATGAGTACTCTCAACAGCACTCATCCTTCACACTCCCAAAGCCGACTTGGCTCTTCAGTCGCTACCAATGCTACCTCATCATCTGGCTCAACTACACTAGTCGATTCCAACTTCTCCTCTAAACACAATAAGGTGACTGTGGTTAACAAGTTATCCACTAGGTGTTATCACTGACTCAACAATGGTCTCGCATTCCATGCTGCAGCCAATGATATTCAGAAGTTCTGTATATAAGTAGGGGCTCAACATTAGTTATTTCAGACAGGCCACACCTAATGGAACTAGCCAACCATCAGCACTAGCTTCAGCAACAAGAGTACTTGCAGCATTGTCATTCACACTCTCAACGTCTGAGTGGCTGCCAGCTGTTTATTCGCTTGCTATCGACTCCTGCTGTATTAACATCAAGCTCATCAACATAAGTCAACAGACTATGATCATCAGCTCCATCCATAACATCGGCCCTTGTAGGTCTACCAAAAAACCAGCCAATTAAATATGTCTATTATTCTTGACTTATGTTCTGACAAAAATTCTGGATGTTAGTTGGATGGTTTCTTTCTATTATCTAATAAATTTTCAGTTCCTCAATCACTGCCATCCATATAATATATATAAGTAAAGGACTGTATACGATAACTGATAGCTCTGAGCTATACCATGGCATCATAATTGATTCAAGCAAGATAGAAGACGCAATGAATCAAATTAAAAATAGAAAAGCAGCTGGAGCTCTGCGGGTTTTCCGGAGCTTCCCAATATGTGTTGGTGTAATGGGCAGATCCCTGATCCTTAGATAAGAGTGCAGCGTCCTAACAACTCCTGGCATGCTCCTACATTCAAATGGAGCAAATACACTTTTTGCTATGAATGATCAGGTATAGCAAGAACAGAAGATGATATTGAACGTGCTCTTTACACTCTCAACCAGATATGCAAGGGATATGACTTGAAAATCTCCTCCAGCAAAACATGTTGCCTAACTCTAACTCATTGTAATACAATAGCAGGTGTTGCACTTTACTTTCCTAAGCTGTGACCTGACTATGATTCAGACAATGGCACGTCAAGATTGACCGGTTCCAAGGAATGCGAGGCATGGAGTTGATAGGTCTCGAAGGAAACAGCCTGTAGTCTAGTGGTTCTACGTACACTAGTGTTCCCTGGGTGGAGTTGAGGTTAGGAATAAAAATGATGGTAGACATAATATTGCAGAAGCAGTTTAGCATCCTAATTGATAGTTGAGTGCATTAGGCTGCTTTTAATTAGCAAAACCCTTTTCACGCTAACATATAAAAAATTACAAGATATACAGATTATAATTGATAATTTTTGTTTTCATTAGGTCTGGAATCAAAAGAGGCCAGGCTGGCTGGAAGCACTGACTGCCCCACTCATGGACTTTTTAGACCCTATTATTGGCATAATAAACAAAGCAATTTCAGTAAGAGTTTATTTTAAATCAAATTTGTGATGTTGAATTTAATAACGGATTATTGAATTCAGGAGAAAGCGACCACTGAGCAATTGCTTGCTTTGTCAATAGCACTCCTGGCACAGTCGGTTGACTGTCTTCCTCCCGGCATCACCCTGACAACCGACCTGCTCCAGGGGATACTGCCGGCTGACTGTTCCCCAATCGGTGGCCTCGTTCTTCTTCAACTCCTATTCGCCAGTCTCTACAGTCGAGTTATTGACACCCCACTGGCCGAATCTATCTGCCATCTCATCGAGGAGGACTTGGTCGATTTAGTAGGAAAGGCAAGCTGCCTTAACAATCTACCCAGGCCGAGTCACGATCTGGAGTACTCACACCAACTCTGTGAACTTCAAGTGAGCCAGCTCTTGCTGACTAAAACCGGAAGACTTTCACTCAAGGTCTTTTTGATACATATTAATTTAAGAAGTATTGTTTATACAGTCTGCTTTAGTACTTAAGTACTTTTTTGTAAGTTTAGGTACTTTTTGAGTATCTAACAAAGGAGAATTGGATTTTGACAGCGCTGAAACAAGAGATTCCCCATCCTAATTCTAACACTCTTCTTTTCACTATGTTTCACATCGGACAGCATGCTTTCGATGAGGTATGGCCAACTGAATTACCGATAACATTAGCCTAAAACGTGTGTTCCAGGTCCTTCAAGGGATTTGGACCCCGGATTGGGACGCTCTTCTCAACATCCCACTGGGCATCGACCCTCACTTCGCCTGGGAGCAGATTTCGGCTCGGCTCCCTCATCCAGAAAGAGATGCTATAAACAAACACGACATGGCAGTCGTAGAAACACTGACTAAAGTCTTCGCTGACGTGGAAGAGGAGGGAAGTGAATCTGACTGCGGACAGTTAGAAGAAGTAGAAAACCTTGCTTAATTGAGAAATGTTTGGAAGACTTAAGGAAAAGTACTTTATCCATTTTTAAAGTTTATCCGCAGATTGTTGTTTATGGGCACATTGTTTATTATCAACTGAATTTTTGCCTGTATTGTAAAAATAAAATTAAAGACCATAAAAGTTTTACTAATAAAGCATAAAAATTTTCTTTTTGAAGTCTGTGTGATGAGGAATCATTTTGAGCTGCCTATTCTTACTGTTTTGACCTTCAGCTTACTTTATTTACTTTTTATCACATTAGGATGTTTTTAGACTAGAATATATTTGTAATTGTTTTTTTTTTAAATATATAAATGCCACAATAGATAATTATTTTAACAATTAAAACCATTACAATAAAAAATTAACAATTAAATAAATATAAATTATTGGACCAGCTCTCTCAGCTTCTTTTTCAGTATTTTTCCACTTGGGGACTTTGGGAGCTGCTCGATGAACTCGACACCCCCTCTGAGTTGTTTGTAAGAGCTATGTTCACCTAGAAAACAGTCCCGCATTACAAAGTAGAATTATAAATTTAGCTATTGTCTCGTACTTCTCAATAAGGAAATGATTTCGTTTTCAGAGATGTCATAGCCTTTATTTTTGACGACAAACGCTTTGGGGACTTCCCCGTAGATCTCATGTGGCACTCCTATAACAGCTACTTCTGCGATTGCCTTGTGCTCTAGTAAAGCCAGCTCCAGTTCAGTCGGGGAGATCTAAAAAATAAGTAATCGTAAGAGAATATGATTTTAAAAAATGTATATGCATACAAATAAGATTAACAAAAGACCTGGAACCCTTGGTATTTAATTAATTCTTTGATCCTATCAATGATGTAATAATATCCATCAATATCTTTAAAAACAAGATCGCCGGTATGCAGCCATCCATTTTTGTCTTTTGTAGCATTAGTCGCTTCTTCATTTTCAAAATAGCCTAGCATAACAAGCGACCCTTTTAATTGCAACTCTCCGATTTGGCCGGGTTTGACCAAATTGCCATTTTCGGTTACTATCTAAAAATATTTTATTATTTTTCAATTGCCTTATAAACCTATGTGAATTTTTATACTTGAGCTTTAATCCCAGGAACGAGGGTTCCAGCCGAGCCTGGTTTATCTTCCCTGTGCTCGCCGAAGAGGACGACAAATGTGGTTTCTGTCATGCCGTACGAGTGGTACAGCTTAGCCGAAGGGTGTAATTTTGCTAAAAGCGACTTCTGTTGTGACAACGTTATCGGACCAGCACCTGTAAAGATCTCTCTCACAGACGAAAGTTCTTTTGCTGTCGCACCCACTGATTTCCCAAGTGATGCAACTAAAGATGGTACAAGATATAAATTACTTATCTAAAACAAAAAAAATAACATATGCTATATAAATATGAAATGATTATAATTAAGCGATAAATGACACAATGATTGATGGATAAAGTTCGATATTGTCAAGCCAGAGGACTAGCCAGCAAATGCCTGGCGTCTACCTTCTTGTAGGTACTTAACCGTCTGCAGGCTAAGTCTAGATTTGAAATCTTTGAAAGAGAGGACATCACCAAATCACTCCTCAAGATAAAATGGTCCAAAATCTTGGAGTTTGTGAACAGGTCCAAGAGATTTATGCAGGACACGTGAGCCGACCAAGCCCCGGACCTTTTAGGGATGGGGTACGAGTCTACCCAGGCATTTAACCCCTCAGGTCTTGGTCGCCCACCCTGCATAATATGTATAACCGTCTGCAGTGCCATCCCAAGGCTCAAGGGGTGAGGTATAGAAGGCTCATATAGGCTGATGATATAAGACTGGCCTATAGTAGAGATTTAATTAGAATCAGATTCAGAGAAAATGAGATGGAGTCATATTTGATGGTTCTGAATTTATCAGTGTAGTTCTTTAGCTGCAGTTTCCAGTGAGGCTGGAGTCTGAGATCAAAGGTGAAGTCGTACCAAGGAGTTCCTCATACATCAATCTACCACCACCAAAACGATCCAGCCCCTTGATCCACCAATTGAAGACTTCTGAGCAATAAATCTGTTATATAAGCCAGGTACACAAACCCTTAAGTACTTAAGGGCCCTGTTGTCCGAATCTCCAAAATTACTGCTCTCGATGTTATTAAATCTAATGGTTCTTGGTTTCGGCAATGGAATACTTTAGCTTCTCAATATGGTTGCGATTTTTCTTTTTGTTTAGAAAACCTCTCGAGTTAGCCCAATTATACCATGAAACTTTTGTGCAGACTACGTGATCAACATTGTGTGAGTTGTGAGCATCGAGCTCAGGTCTCCAACAGGTATCTTCTCTTTAAGGCCCTAGACCACTCTAAGGCAACCTTTAACCTAAATGTTCAAGCTAGTGGGTCTATAAAACTTCCAACTCTTCGATGGTTTCTTAAACTCAGATGCGAACAAGTGTTCCTCAATTCTGTGCCATGGAAGGAAGACGACGGAAATTTCTTGTGCACGCTCTGTAACCTTAGAGTTAGGGAAGATATCTTTCATTTTGTTGCCCAGTGTCCCATACTGTCTGAGCTCCGTATCCTGTATCTGGGGTATAAATCGCTTTCCAGGTCTCAGCTGCTTGATCTGTTAAATATCATGGATATGGAGAGGTCGAAAGGTCTAGCACACTATGCACGTCATGCCTGGCAATATAGGTACAATTATAATGCCGAGTCATAATTGTTTAACTTGTATCTAAAATTAGCTAGTTTTTATAATTTAGTGTTTACTTATAGTTTTCTATTATTATATAGTTTATTTTTAGTTTTTCTTTTTCGCTCGCCTGAAAAAGAACAGCCAACTTCCGGCAGACGGATAAGCATCCATGCTGTAAAATGCTTTTAATATTGTATATTATGTAATGCTTCTCTTTAATGTAAATAAAGCATGTTATCTATCTATCTATCTACACAAACCCTTAAACTAGATTTACATCCAATGAAAACCTTTTTTTTTTTACAAATAAGACTGCTCTTCCTCTTTCAGCGAGATAATCCCATGTCTCAAAAAAAAAGAGATGTTACATGACATAAAAATTTGATTATATTTTTATATCACCTTGTAAGTTTGAACTATTTCAAGAAATTTGTCCATTGAAAATTTTGACATTGTGATGAACTTTGTCCCCTCGCAGAGTGCCATGAGCATGAGTCCGAGGCCATAGGCGTGAAAAAAAGGCATCAGGCCCAGTCCGATTGAACTACGTCTCATTAACAATTTGCTGAAATTAAAATTATATTTCAAAAATTTATATTTAAAAACTAAAGGTAAAAGAATTTCATTGTGTTTGCATTATATTGTTTTACCTGTGACAAAGGGCTGAAACAAGGTTGTTGTGACTTAAAAGCACTCCTTTTGGAAGTCCAGTGGATCCGCTTGATGCAAGTATCAAGGCAGGGTCGTCTAGATCAGCCTTGCACGTGCTTATCTTCCATTTGGCACTTCCACGCACTTCTGAGTCAGGGATGATGAGTTCAGAGTACGGCCTGATCTTGGTCCCGTAGTGATTCAATTTGAATGTCGTGTATATCACTTCTACATCACTTTCAAGAAGGACGCTGAGCTGTTCATCCTCTATCTCTGGCGCTATGACATACCTCGGCTTCGAGACTTTGACAAAATGAGCGATTTCGCCTGAAATTCGACGTGTTTAGTTGGAAAATATGGTCTGCAAATGTTCTACTTACGCTTTTTTGTGTACGGTGAATACAAGGCACACGCCGCACCGGCTTGCAAGGCTCCAAGGAGAAGCCATGAATAGTCTAAGCTGTTTTTAGAAATTATGCAGATCACATCTCCGTTCCTGATGCCAGCGTTCACCAAGAGACTGCCCAGCCAGTTCACCCTTCCTATTATTTCTTCAAATGTTATCGACTTTTTTGTCTCACTTTCAATCTGAAATACATATTTAAACAATATCTAGCCATAACCATGCAGAAATAAAATTTGGAGACTTATTATTAATTATTAGAAATTTCTTGAATGAAATTTGCTTTATGTATTGAAATTTATATCTTCAGCAGTGAGCAGCAATAATCCTAAGTTTAAATTTCATCAGCATCATCTGATGGCTGACACCCTCATATAAAAAAACTTTCAACTACCGCTGTTAGACTTTACCCAATAAAAAATAAATAAATAAAAATCTATTTTATGTTATAACAAATTGGTTGATAATTTTGGGACAATGGTGCAGTCTCCCCCTTGCTTATTTTTGGCAATTGCACTGTCTCAAAGGCATTTATCTCTCTGTTTTAAAAATATTATTAAATAAAAAGACAGACATTGCAACAAAACATTATCTTAAATTACAAATAGATTACATTCTATATAAACATTTATAAACCAATCTACTGTGATTAGAAAGGGATTTCACGGTAAAATCATATCACTAATCTTTTTTTTGTTTTTGTTCAATTTAAACAAACAAGGCTGTTGTGAAATAATTTGTACTGTGTTGTCTGAGGGATGATATACCTGAAATTTGGTCGTCATTTCAGCGTACCTATCCTCGCTGGGTTTTTTCCATTTTAATGTGTGTAATGTCCTCAAGGGTGTAATTGCACCGCTTATAAAAGGAAACAGGTTCACTGAAGATGGCTAATTACCAAAACACATCTGACAGGCCAACCCAGCATCAAAATGATCAATAATTAAATTTTATAATTGAAACACTTAAATAATTACTGGCTAATATTCTGAGGGCTGATGATCAATATTGATTTTAAACAAGTAAATAATTCATAAACCCGCAGACCAATTCAATTTTGATTTAATTTAACAAATTTTCACTGTGTGAATAATTTTGAAATATTTTGTAGTGGTCTGAGGGGAAAAACGTTCATCATGATCATCTCGGATGACCCAGGCAATTCTCGCTAGTTTCGCATGTTAGATGTGTTCCAGCTTTTCATCAAAAGTTGAATATGGCAAAATGAAGAAATGTGTCTGATTTCTTTCCTTCTGAATTCTTTCAATGTGTCTGATTCGACTACGAGTTCATATTTTTAATTCTGAAACAATTTTTAATAACTTCACTTACAGTACTTATTTCCAAATTGTTAAATATTTTGGAAACTACTTCACATATATTTTCTATACAATTTATTTCAATATGAGATTTGTTTTTCTGAAATTCCATAAAACCAATTTTGCCTTTTAGCATTTCTGTTTCTTCAGTTTTTTTGTTCTGTGCCATTAAATTTGTTCATTTTAGACTGTAAATGATCATGACACCAAAAAAGGCCACCATTTCTACAAATTTAGTTTCTATTCCTTCTATATTGCATCAACAAGCCACATGGTCAAGACGGAAGAAGGAGATATAATCAAATTAATTTTTTATGAAATTGGGGTATTTTAAAAATTAAATTCCACAACAAAAATTGGACTAATTTGCCTTTTTTCATTTATTGGTGTTTGTGAAAAAAATCTGTTTTTTTAAATAAAAAATAGATTCCTTGCTTATCTAAATATTTATTTGGATTGGACATTTTGGAATTTACACACATCATCAGTATCTTTTTAAAAAAATTATTAAACTTTTCATTATATATATTTTTTTAGATGTATGACTAATTTGCCTCGACAAGCCACATGGCCAAGATGGAAGAAGAAAACAAATTTTTGGGTTTTTGTTTAAAAAAATCCATGTGGTTTCTTTAAAATAAATTCATTACTTATTTATACATTTATTTGTAAGTTGGGAATTTACACACATCATCAGTATCTTTTTAAAAAACATCGTTAAATTTTTCATTATAGTTTCTTGTAAAAGATGTATGATTTTTTGCATAGACAAGCCACATGGCCAAGATGAAAAAAAAAATCTTGGTTTTTGTGAAAAAAAAAATCCGTGGTTTTTTTTAGCGATTCATTACTTATTTCAACATTTATTTGGACGTTTTGGGAATTTACGATCATCATCAGGATCTTTTTAAAAAACAATGTTAAATTTTTCATTATAAAGTTCCTTTTAAAAGATGTATGATTTTTTGCAACGACAAGCCACATGGCCAAGATGAAAAAAAAAATCTTTTGGTTTTTGTGAAAAAAAAATCCGTGGTTTTTTTTAGCGATTCATTACTTATTTATACGTTTATTTGAATGTTTTCAGAATTTACACACATCATCAGAATCTTTTTTTTTTTTAAACATTGTTAAATTTTTCATTATAAAGTTCCTTTTAAAAGATGTATGATTTTTTGCAACGACAAGCCACATGGCCAAGATTGAAGAAAAAAAGAAATCTTTTGGTTTTTGTGAAAAAAAAATCCATGTGGTTTTTTTATCGATTCATTACTTATTTATACATTTATTTGAATGTTTTCAGAATTTACACACATCATCAGAATCTTTTTTTTTTTAAAAACATTGTTAAATTTTTCATTATAAAGTTTCTTTTAAAAGACGTATGATTTTTTGCATCAACAAGCCACATGGCCAAGATGGAAGAAGGCTACTTATTGATGATGGGCGTAAATTCCCGAAACTTCGAAATAAATGTTTAAACAAGTAAGGAATTTACTTTTAAAAAAAAACGGATTTTTTTTTAACAAAAACCAAAAATTGATAGATATTTTTAATGCACCATTAAAATCCTTATTTTTTGCATTTTCATCAACTTTTTTTAATTTGTTATTTTAAACAGTTCACAATTTTTTCTGCCTTGTAAGTTAAGCTAAACAAAATACCTGTGCGATTTCATTCCCGTGTTGCTTAATTGTCTGCAGTATAAAGTCGACAACATTATACGCTCCTTCAGTGTTCAGAGGAGGGCTGGATCGTTTAGTATCTTGAAGGTGAGAATCCATGTTTGGCTGACCGATGACGACTGACCTGGATCTGCCCTAGAATCAAAGACCTTTGTACTTTTCAGAGATAAATATTTGCTTTATTTATAAACTGAATTCAAAGATTTTTTTTTTGTATGGACTGATTAATTATGATACTTTTTTCTTCTAATTGAAGTTACTAGGACCTTATTTGAACTTAGTTTGACCAATAAAATTAATTGTAATTGGAAAATAGCTATACTTGGTAAAGAAAGCCGTTTAAATTTAAAAACTTTTATTTTGCTGGGACAGAAGGGAAAAAGAGTGATGGTTAATGGCATATATTTCAGCTTGAAAGATCGAAGTGGACTTCCCTAATGAGTTTGATTGGTGATGCCAGACGATCCCCCAGAAAATGCCTGATCTGGTCCCTTTGTTTGTTTTAGAGCCATATGTATACCATATCTGATTTCTGCCTGAATTCTTCTCGTTTGGAATTTGTTGAGACCTTACAGGATGTTGAAAAGAGTGTTTCCGGAGCGTTGTAAACTACTTCGAAACGTATCAAGAACTCTTGGATCTGTGATCAAGTCTGGGTAGTGCCAATATAAATTATCAGAATGAATATGGGACTTAGCCCCCATTTCCCCCAAGGAATATCAAGTACCCTGGGGTATTGTGAATGATATATGTTGTATAAATAAAATTGATTAGTGCGGACGTAGGGGCATATCACCAATTATACTGAGCAATGATTATTAGTAGTGTGAACAAATTTTGGTGTGTAAATGTAATTTATTAGCTCAAATGGGGTGGGTCTATCCCCATTCTTTACTTCGAAAGATATAAAATTCTCTGGAGTAGTGGGAACAAAATCTGTTGGATATAATTTATTAGCATGAATGGAGGGGCATAAAATTTTACGTACATTACGAGACCTAGGAGGCCTCTGGCATCTCTCTGATGGATCAGGGGGAGTTACCCACCTTGGTGCCTAAGCGACTCCAAGATTGGGCTCTGATCGGGTGCCATCGACTTCTTTGGTAATTTCAGCTCCTTTCCGTTCCCTAAAACTAGTCATTCTCACACTCACACAATAAATACGTACATACTCTATACAAACCCAATCACACAAGCATATCCTCTGTCAAGAATCCGAGTTGGAGGGTACTCGTTATTCCGCCCCGATCCGGCTTGGTGGAGCAGCAATGGAGCCTTGAGATGATACACTGCACTGCCGCCCAGCGTACCCCTATTCTAACATAAACTTAACTTACACTTTAACCTATAAAATAAATACCACACTATTACAACCCATTATCCCAATATCTTTCAAAACCATAAAAAGTTTTTCTTTAAACTCGCTGCCATGCTTGAGCATTCTCCTATAGTCCGATGGTATTCCATTTCAGTCCCTATACGGGGCCAAGCTGCGACACCCCTCCAGCACCTGCAACACCGTGAGTCTGTTATCTTGGCATGCTGGGCACCTGGGTCAACTAGTGCTGACCAACTCCGAGATTGGGCTCTGATCGGGCGCCATTAATTTCTTTGGTCATTTCAGCTCCTTTCCGTTCCCTAAAACTAACCATTCTCACACTCACACACACAATAAATACATACATACTCCTATATACAAACCCAATCCCACAAGCATATCCTCTGTCTAGAACCTGAGTCAGAGGGTACTCGTTTTTCCACCCTGATCTGGCTTGGTGGAGCAGCAGTGGAGCCTTGAGATGATACAATGCACCACCGCTCAGCATACCCCTATTCTAACATAAACTTAACCTAAACTTTAACCTATAAAATAAATACCCCACTATTACAACCCATTATCCCAATATCTTTCAAAACCCTAAAAAGTTTTTCTTTAAACTCGCTGCCATGCTTGAGCATTCTCCTATAGTCCAATGGTATTCCATTTCAGTCCCTATACGGGGCCAAGCTGCGACACCGTGAGTCTGTTATCTGGCATGCTGGGCACCTGGGTTGACTAGCGCCGACCGACAGGTACCCATGAGTCGTGTGTGACCGATCTGCAGGCGTGTCAGGACAATGCTTTCAATTCAGGACATGCCCTCCAGGTTTATGTACTTATACTGAGCAATATTGAATACTCTGATGTAGTGAGAAAAAATAGTGGTGTGTGAACACAATTTATTAGCTTAAATGGACAAATTTATCCCCAATCCCAACTTTGAAACATATAAAGTATTCTGGGCTGATGTGAACAAACTCTGTGGAATAAATATAATTTATTAGCGCGAATGGAGAGGCATATCCCTAATTATACCGAGCATTATTGACCAATCTGGGATAGTGTGAATTAATTAGCAAGAATATGTGGCATATCTCTAATTTCCCAGACGTACTCTGGGGTAATGAGAATTCAATTTATTCGCACGAATAGAGAGGCATATCACCAATCACACCGAGCAATGAGTACTCTGGGGTAGTGTGAACAAATTGTGGTGTGTAAATGAAATTTATTAGTAGAAATAAGTAACAATATTTTTTTTTCACATTTGTCAATTCAAGTTTCGTTAGCCAAATCAGAGCGCCTTTTATGTTTTAACCAACTTAGATGTCTCCGGGGTGGCTGATTGTTGGCAATATCCTGCCCATATAGTGGGTTAGGGTGTGACAGAATTTATTCATTGTGCCGATCGTATGAGTTCTTTATTACTATCCAGACATCTGGTATATCCAAATCCCGGTGAATGGCGACGTTGTGGTACATACCATGGGGCCGCAGTTATCAGACGAAGGATGCAATTCTGAACGGTTTGGATTTTCTTTATTTGTGTATCTGATGCCGAGGACCATATTGAACAGCCGTACTGCCAAATCGGTCTTATTACTGTTAGATAAATCAAACGTTTGATATGCAGTGGTATATTTTGGCTGGTCAGGAGATGTTTTAAGGAGTACATCCGGTGTCGTGTTTGTGTTACAGCATTTTTAATGTGCACATCCCATACTATGCTTAATTTATGATCCGGTTGTAGGCCGAGATAGTGAACAGATAATGCAAGTGGTACGGGTTCTCCCTGTAGCTTGATGACTTTGTTGACCTAGGCAAGGTAGTGCCTTGCTGTTTCTTCTTTTATTTCTCAAAAACGGCAAAAGGGATCTGGTAGGATACCCATTACAAAGTGGTGTCTTCTCAGTGGGCAGTGGCCTGTCAGAATACCTATGTTCTGGTATCTTGGATCTAGGTATCTTGTTTGGATTAACTTTTATCCTCCATTTTCTGCACCATCTGCGAAGTCTTGCAGCCCTGTACTACCTTCATGGCTGGTGTGGTGTTTATCTAGTACAGTGACATGTCACCATAATGATGACACCATGCTTCCACTTCCGAGGATGTAAAGGAGTAGTGAGATATACTAGTCCTTTATGGGGGAGATTGGTCAGTCGTTGCTGAAAATAGAGTAGTGCGAATGAAATTTATTGTGGAAGATAGTGGAAGGATATGAACTAATCTGGATATGAATGCTAACCAGAATCTCATATTTTACTTTATTTCTGTTTTTTCTATTTGTGTTTATCTACAATTGACGATGCTTTGGTGTAGAAAGAGACTGGCATAGGATAAAGAAAATAGAGAAGCAAAAACAATTATGAAAGTCAGAGATTTTGTTTCTTTAATATATTCTTTGAACGTTTAAAAATTTAAAACTCTTGTTGGGAAGACCGGGAAATAAAAGAGCAAGGATCGACCCGGGTATAAAAAAAGTACTTTAATGATACATAAAAAAGCGATAAATTTTCAAAACGGGAGCGCCACCTGGATCCCGGCTACGACGAATCGACCACCACGACTCGAACCGGTGGCCACGTGTTTTTCAACATTTTCCCCTTTTCACGTCAAAAACTTATATTCTGGAAAATTTGCTCTTTGTCGAAAAGATTTTTGGTTTATGTTATGGACAGGGGGAGGTTGTTTTATTGCGGTTGTGTTAGAGGCGAAGGGTTTTTTTTGTACGAAAGGCGGTTGAGTTCAAGATTTTTTTATATTAAAGCGAGACTGGAAGGATTGATTTTTGTTGTTTAAAATTGGATTAAATTTATCCTTGAGTTTAGTAAAAAGGGTGTTTTTTTGTGTTTTGTTGAGTTTTTTAGCCGTGTCGGAAGGGGGCGCCAGTCGTCGCGTCGAACCCGCTATGGCGTCCCGAGCGGCAACACTCGTCCATTGAGTTGTTTTTCATTGTGACGTTGTTTACCCTCAGCTCTCGACCCTCGGCCGGCCGCCGGTGAAAAGCGATTTCTGCCAAGGATCAGCGAGGCCCGGAACCCTCCGACGAAGGAGGCCGATGAGCTCTCGACCTTCTGGCTTTTAGGAGAGAAGTAAACGCATCGAAATGACCACCTCGACCAGCTTCGCCTCCAAGTCGGCCGGCGACCAAAGCTTCCAGCAGCTCGACCTGAGCGGAAAGCTCATAATCAAGGTAAAAGCCCGGCCCGGTTTCCACTCCGAACCCGTCTCAATTTCGATTTTCCAGGTCCAACTCGGCGACGACGTACGCCGGATTCCCATCCACAACGAAGCCATCACCTACGACGAGTTGGTCCTGATGATGCAACGTGTCTTCAGGGGAAAGCTCAACAGCTCAGACGACATCACCATCAAATACAAAGACGAAGGTACGCGATTTTTTTGCTTTTTACGTCGGGAGCTTTTTCAGAACGGCTCGGCCGGTCCTAATTCGATTTGCATGTTAATGAGGTCTCTCATCCCTCGGTTAATTGATTTCCCTGGGTCCGCGTCCGATTCCTACCCGATTCCTCAGCCGGCACCGTGGGCATTTCACCTACGATCCGCCTCCGTTTAACCTTAAAACGGGCTTTTCATCCAAATCTCCATTTTCCTCGTGACTCGCCACTTCCAACCTCCTTCCACTTTTCACACCACGTTCAGAAAAAAACACTCCCCGATAAAATAACAAGCCACCCTTCATTCTGTTCGGTATTAGTTGTAAAAATATCAAAATTTATCCAAAACGTATAAAAAACGTTAATTACAAAAGTCCAGTAAAAATCTTGCTTTATAATATCAATATTTACATGCAACAAAAGTACAAGACACTCTCTTTCTTTATCTAATTCTCTTGCAAAAATAATCTTTAATTTACAATTTAGTGCTTTATCCACTTCTTAAGTAATGTATTCACTAGACTAAACTTACAATGCCAAGAGGGAAGGCACTGTCGTCGAGTGAAAAAGATGTTTATTAATACATTACAATTAATTAAGGTTTTTTGGTTGAGATAAAAAAGTAAATGGCACGAGCGGGATTCGAACCCACGACCTTCGGCTAAATACGCCGCTCCTCAACCACTTGATCTATCGTGACCTCGATCCCCTCGGACACTAAATTCCCATCTCATCCCCACCTTATGAGTTTTCCCTCCTATTTGCCATTTTTCAAATGTCGTGTAATCGGATTGGATTCTCGACGACAAATGTTAAGTTTATTAATACATTGCTGTAAAAAAAAAAATTGGTTTCAAAAATTGCTTGAACTTTAAAGAGAAGTAGGCGTGTAATAAGAAATTTAGTTAGGCTCGGTGATGATTACGGCCGAAAGAAGAGTGCAGGACGGTCTATGGCAATGGCTACTAGAGAATGGAGGACCATTCTGCTCCAAGGTTCCAATTTTTCAGTCTTTGCGAGAGAAATTTGCTTACAAGCTGAAGTTTCCAGAAACGTCCGACGCATTCTACAAAGAGCAGGCCGTTTAAAGCTGATGAAACTCAAATCCAAGCCCCCTCCTTTAAAGGCCCAAAAAGCCAATGAGAGGCGATTCGCCACTGAACACATTTCATTGAAAAAGAGTGGAGAAAAGTAATTGTTAGTGATAAAAACGTATTCCTTTGGATGACCCTGATTGATTTCTTTCAAATTTTCAAAGCTAAGAGGAAAGACGCTATCGGAGAATAAGAAAGCTGTTAATACATTGCTGAAAATAAAAAAAATAGTTTCAAAAATTGCTCGAACTTCAAATTAGGCTCGGTGATGCGAAGAAGAATATGGGATGGCCTACGGCATCACTACTAGAGAACGGAATCTAGTACGCCAAGTCTCCAATTCTACCGCCTCTGCCAAATTATAAAAACAACAAATTATGGAGATAAAATAGCGAAACAATTAAATGGCATATTCTTAATAAATGCCACGAATAATTTAACATTTCGAAATAACGACTGTTTGGATTCAGCAGCTCCGTCTGTCGTAAATGAGCTCATTTCCACATTATAGCATTAACAAGTTATGGAATCTTCAAGTGCATCTTTTAAAAACTTAAATTTCAACCTTCGCCAGAATTCAGCATTCTTTAGTCTTTATCTAAATCTCTTGTGAAAATCATCTTTTTATTTAGATATTAATCCATTTATGTTTTGTGGTCAATTGACCAAGTTACTTCTTACAATTATTCTTTTTATTTAAGGTATTGGTTGAGACAAAAAAGTCAATGTCACGAGCAAGATTCGAACCCACGATCTTCGGGTTGAGATAAAAAGTTGGTATCCGAGTGGATCGAAGTCATGATAACTCAAGTGGTAGAGCAGCGGCGTATTGAGCTGAAGGTCGTGGGTTTGAATCTTGCTCGTGACACTGACTTTTTTATCTCAATCAAAACCTTTTAATTTAGAGTTAGGTGCTCTATCTACTTATTAAATAATGTATTCACTTTAATAATGTATTTTAAGTTTTTACAATGACAAGGCGGAATGCACTATCAGAAAGTGAGAAGGCTGTTATTAATACATTGCTGGGAGAAAAAAAAAAAAAAGAAAAGTAGGCACGTAATAAGAAATTTTGTTCGGCTTCGTTGATGATTATGGTCGGAAGAAGAGTACAGGATGGCGTATGGTAGCAACTACAAAATTGAGTGCTATTCTCCACTCCACGCCTCCATTTCTACAGCCTCTGCACGATTATAACAACACGTGGAGATAAAATAGCAAAACCATTAAATGGCATATGCTTAATAAATGCTACAAGTAATTTAACGTTTCAAAATAAAGAGTTAATTCACTTTTTTCATTTGAGGCATGCTAAACTTTTCAACAAAATAAAACTCTCCCTAGGGAAGAAACAGCTATCCAAATTCGAAGTAAAGCTTGTCAAACTTGACCGACTGGACGTTCAACATTTGTCTCCAGCTGTCGTAAATGAGCTCATTTCCACATTATAGCATTAACAAGTTACGGAATCTTCAAGTGCATCTTTTAAAAAAATCAAATTCAACCTTCGCCAGAATTCAGCATTCTCTGAATATTTCCTGTAGGGATGGAGGAGTTACATCGCCCTTTTTAACAATACAACTTTATAATATATTGTAAATAGTATACCAAACTTATATTCCAGGACAAAATTATAGGCCACCCTTCATTTTGTTCGTTATTAGTTGTAAAAATTATTAAAATTTAACCAAAACATAAAAAAAAGTTAATTACAAAAGTACAGTTATAATCCTGCTTTCATTCTATTTGGTTCTTTGTTTATGAATATTTTGTATTATAATATCTCAGTCTTTATCTAAATCTCTTGCGAAAATCATCTTTAATTTAGTGTTGGTGCTTTATCTACTTCTTAAATAATACATTCACTTCTTTCTCTTAAATTTTTACAAGTTGGCACGTAATAAGTATTTTTCATTTTTGTCGATATAGTGAACATGTCCATCCTTCATCCCCTTAAAGATACGATACATTCAGATTTATCTGTGTACCATTCACTCGATTAGGGTGCCAGAATTCACTCCTCCATCACTCTTTACTGTATGGCTAATTTAATTGAAGGGCTGGCATCAACCCTTTTTCACTACACATTCACACTAATAAGTATATTCACATTCAATGTATACAAAAGGAAACAAAAATGTCTTAAGTAGATATGCAAAAAACAGATCTGTTTCCTACGAAAATCGGAACAGGGGACCCAAAGACTTGCTGTTTAAGAATAATTGCACCCTCAGGGCAAAACTCAAATTTTAGCAAACTGGGATAAACGCATATTCCAGTAATTTTTTAGGCCTGACAGACTAATTTTTTAAGTTGAGTTGATGAAGTGTAAGCACAAATAAACAAAGTATCTACAAAAATTAAATTTGTTTGGGAGGTTCCTAAATAATCAAATCTTTGGTTTTATGAACTTTAACTTAATATTTTACATCAACTTTTATTTCTTTAATATTAATAACTGCTCCTTTTAGGCGTTTACGGCAACATAACTAAAAGCTAATTTTGTAGCCTTTTGCCTTATCAGCTTTTTGACATTATCACTGTGTCTGGGTTGTGATTGATAATGACCAGATTACACGATCGCCACCCTCTAGACTGTAGAAAGAAATCTTACAATTACAAAACTAATCAATAAATTTTAAAATAAGCAAGTAATTAGCCAATAATACGTAAGTTTTGGACCAGGGGGTCTTCAGACCTGATCCATCCTGCTGCAAATGTAACGCTCTAGGAGTCGTCAATAGCTAGATCATTTCAGCCCTCATTGCATGCAGTGATTTAAACCTAGGATTCTCTTTCATACTAAATACAATTTTAACTATTATACCTCTCCCTTATTCTACATACTAATCTGATTGAAAGTTGATGGGGAAATGAATATTCCACCATCTGACTTCCCACACTGCACATTCATTCTAATAAATACATTAACTTTCAATATGCACAAGATAGAAACATAAAATGATTTGTAAATTTTTCCCAAACCAAAATCTAATTAAAGAAAATACCCCTGGACTTTTTCTTGGCCTCGACTAACCTCTTGGAGGAAAATAGCGGTGTCACAAAAGCATAAGAACTGTGACCTGAGAAGTACAAACTGAAAGGACGAATTTCGTATTCAGGCTGTTGAAAGTCTGGAAAAATGATTTAAAAAAAAATGACTAAAGGATGTCCGAGGCAATTTCTTCGTGGCTATCTAATCCTTCAAGCGCTCAAGCAGGAAGTCTGATTAGAAGGCGAATCTAAGAGTTATCTGTGTAAATAAATTGTAACAATCTTGTATTTTGTTAATTTTAAATACAACTTTATTTGCTTAATTATTCAGAAATTGTGAGATGCGGTCTGATGTGATGTAGGTTTCAAAAAAACATTTTCTTTATTGTGGGCACTCTCAACACGACATGCAAGAATGGCACAATTACACAGACAAACACTTTGAGCCCTGAAGATGATCTCAATAAAGGTCGAAACGTTGGCACGATAAAGAAAAGTTTTTCTGAAGCCTACATCACACCAGACCGCATCTCATGATTTCTGAATAATTATTGATTAATGGTCACTAATCACCACACATTTATTTGCTTAGCTTTTCACACTGGTATGATAGAACGCTTCAGACCTCTCTTTTTGCTAGCAGTGAACAAAATAATAAACTTGTACCATTCTGATAGCTAGAACTAGAATTGTGTCGTTGACAGAAGCTGTCATGATTGAAAAGTACTGGGTCAAAAAGAAATCTCCCCCTAGTGTAAATGCTTTCCAAGCAGTTATTCTGGGGCTATACTTGGTCTACAAAAGTAAATTAACTCCCTCTTACAACTGGGCTATCCTAAGACTATGACCACAACGTTAACTATGTATCTAAAAGATTATTCTGGCTACCCACGACAAATTGTGGACAAACTTTTTACAGCAGACATAAACGAGGCACTACCCAACTTCCCACTGATGGATCGGTCTGAGGGGGGGGGTGTAGGCTGCGTGTATTATGATCCGGTGTTGATGATTAAAAGAAATATAGCATTGCCCAGTCAAGTCTCTATTTTTACTGCCGAAAAGTATGCGCTAATCAGGGCCCTCGATCATGCAGCTACCTTGGATGGAACAAGCTTCGGCATCATAACCGACAGTATGAGTTTGATCAAGCAGATTGAGCGGTTCCACCCAAACACGAAGTGCGACCATTTACTGACTGAAATCATAAATTTGATACACAATCTTGAGTCCTCGCAGAAGAGAGTGGTTTTTTGTTGGAATCCGTGGTAATGAAGTGGTCAATCAACTCGCCAAACAAGCGGCTTACACGGGGAATACCACGACATCAAAATGACCAAAATAGATTGGCTTGCATGGTACAAGAGAGGGGTGGCGGGAAGTGTATATAAATCACTTTTCCCCCAGCCCAAACCCATGGTTCAGTGCAATAAAATGCGCAGAAAATTTTTTTTTCGGTAATATCTCGGATCCGGACAGGTCACTACATATGCGTAACGTACTTGCACAGAACAAATGCCAGAGACTCGGCAAACTGCGCAACGTTTGATGAGCCAGAAAACATCAAACATATAGTCTTTGACTGCCCAGAATACGAAGAAAGTAGGAAAGTCCTCTTTGACGAACTGTACCAGCTGAGGGAGGTTACCAAATCTCAGCTGGGAGAATTTACTTGTGTTGGAAAGGGTCGAGGCCTACAAATTGATTTATGCATTCTTCCAGGACTGCGATGTTACTATATGAAATGAGACGTGGATGTGAGCTTTCCTGGAGCCTTCGGTTCAAGCCTGGCAGGAATAACTTATTTAAAAAAAAGAAGTTTATTTGTTTATTATTTATTTATATGATTATTTATTCAATATTCAAGCAATTTATCTGTGATATTTCTGTATGGTGTATATAAGGTTAATATTTTTACTCGAACAATTGCTGTATGTCTTAAGGCAAAGCAATACCAAAAAAAAACTTTTCTACACGAAAATGAAAACTTGGCATGTGTCTGTCGCATGTTTTCTGTTATTTTTAGGTTTCAACGTCCATTTGAAAATTTTGAGCTTCTTGTTTTGCTTTTTTCTAAACATTTGGCCCAAATGTCGGAGATAAGTTATTTACTCCCGGGAAATTCATGCAAAACGTGACATGTGGTCATGACTGATGTCAAGTGATAAATCTGCTGTTTGGTCATTTCCGACGATTCACTGTTTTGGCCTGTAACTCTTCAAAGATTTGTGTCTGTAAGATTTCTGTCTATACAGGTTTGTTTTTCTGTTTTGACCTGCAAAAAAAAACCTACAGACCCTATTATTGAAGATGGGACTGACCAAAATTATCAGAAACGACCAAACTTTAAAAAAAAAATAATCTCTATAAGTTCACTAATTTTGTGGTCCGCTTGACCAGTTAATATATTACAATTAATTAAGGTTTTTAGTCGAGATAAAAAAGTCAATGGCATGAGCGGGATTCGAACCCACGATCTTCGGCTAGATACGCTGCTGCTCTACCACTTAACTTCCTATCTCAACCCCACCTTTTGAATTTTCCCTCCTTTTTGCCATTTTTCATGCCATTTCAAAAGGTGCCATTTCTCAACTAAAAACCTTAATTAATTGTAATATATTAATTGGTCAAGCGGACCACGAAATTAGTGAATTAAATGAAGTATACTTCACTAAAGCTCTCCGTGGCCATTTCATTTGTTGCCGAGAATCCAATCCGATTACACAACATTTGAAAAATGGCAAAAAGGAGGGAAAATTCAAAAGGTGGGGTTTAGATGGGAAGGTGGTGTCCAGGTGGATCGAAGTCACGATAGCTCAAGTAGTAGAGCAGTGGCGTATCTAGACGAAGATCGTGGATTCGAATCCCGCTCGTGCCATTGACTTTTTTATCTCGACTAAAAACCTTAATTAATTGTAAATCTCTATAAGGTTCTTTTAGCCTGAAGACATTGAGCAACCCTGCACAATCCTAACTTAGTAGATGGGTGGTTTGCCCATTTTCAGTGTTTGTTCTTCTTTATGCCTTGCCATCTTAGCTACTTAATATTTGATAGTTTCTACTACTAGACATGAGAAATTACTAGGTGTTTGTTTGACAAAAGTTAAATCGCCACTGACATTCTCATTTGGTATCATGTCTAATACAAAGTATCAGTGATTGACCTTCCCAGATGGTAGTAGGTGCCTTGTTTCATGTTCTGAAAAAGCTTGCTGGTAGAAAGATGTCAATATTTTGTATTAACTTTTTTAACAGTGTCATAACGCGATGAAAAACATTTTTTTTCTTTTTTTTTTTCCAGATGGTGACCTAATAACAATTTTCGACAGTTCCGACCTCTCCTTCGCCATACAATATAGCCGGGTTCTCAAACTAACGCTTTTCGTAAGCGGGGAGGGAAACAAGAGCGGCCTCTACCAGCCGCCGCAGACTTACAAAATCCGGAGCCAACTCCGGACGATTAGAGACAGCATCAACCAGTTTCTGGACATGGTAGAGCCCAGGAACTACGAGTCACATTCAACTTCGTCACAAGAAAGTCAGTACTTCACCTTCTGAAGCATGCTCAGCATTTAAATACATACTTTAAACTAATGCATGTTTTTTGTTCTCATCTGCTTGATTTTTTTCCGTTAAAAACAAATAATCAACATAATGGACTAATTTTTTTAATTTTTATAATTAACTTTTCTGTAAGAAACCTTTCTATTTGTTTGCTTCTTGTTCCATCAAACTTTTTACAACCGCTTGAAATATTTTGTTCGTAGAGACAAATCGTAAAATGTTGGAAGTGTTGGGAAAAAATAGTGTAAAAGTAGTTTAATTACATTTATATTTCATAAACCAAGTTTAAATCTATTTAAATCAATTTTCAAATCGTTGCAAATAGAATTATATAATCAAATGACCCAGATTTTAGGTTTGAAAGAATAATTAAAAAAAAAAAGAAAAACCATCGAGCTTTTTTACGAAAGTAAATATTTTCCAAACATCGACAACTTTTCCATATTTATATAGAAAATGCGAATTAACCTAAATTTGCATGCTTAAATTTAGGTTTGAGTTGACATGTGAATTAATTATTTATTGTACATGGCAAAGAGAGAGAGAGAAAAAAAAATGTATGTTCCCCCTCTTTGATTCATCAGTGTCACACATTATATTTGTTGAAAACTTTCCATAACGAATCTCTTCAAAACCAAATCGAGACTTATGTGCTGTTTAGGCAGCTGTAAGGTACGAGAGAGAAATATCAATTGGGATAAAGACGATTCGGGTGAAAGTTGCGAGGCGTCGAGGAGTAAAAAGCCAAGATGGGGGGACCCAAATAACAAAGTAGACCCTCCCTGGACGAAATCAAAAGGTCAGATAGATAAAAATACATCTTCTTTTCATCCGCCCTGCCTTGTCCATTTTCTTCCACTTCATTGTAATTTTATTTCTGCAAATTTCTTCCAAAGTTTATCCTTGAGTAGATTTTTTTTATTCAGCATGCTTTTATATTGCATGATAAAAAAATATATAAAAATTACGTATTAAAGACTACATTATTGAAGTATAAAAAGGTAGAAACACGCACTATAAACCCAAAAATACACAGTAATTTTGCTAAAACAAAATGTTTCCAGCAGTTTGGTTTTTGTATAGTTTTATTTTTAGTACTCATTTCCAAATTAGTTTGTCACAATCACAATTTGAGAACTGACCAAGTAGCGACAAGGCATTTAAGAGTGTTATTCAATGAAAAATCTATAAATGTATTGTCCAGAACTTTTCTTAATAAAATAAGCAATTGTTCAGTTATGAAGGATGTCCGGTTATTAGAAGTGTCCGTTTTGGGGAAATTTCACTGTTCAAAAGATTAATTTTATCGACTCGATAAAGAAATTGGCAAAATAAACAAATGAGATTTTTTAATATTCCCAAAATCTTGAACATAGGGGTTCTAAAAATTTATCGAGGACAAGACAATCTGAATAACTTTTATAGGTGGATTGAGGAAAAGTTTTACAATGCGAGATCAACTAGCCTCGTAGGGGAGTAGATGCCAGTCTCTAGCTGGGAAAGGAATCAATGTTCATGAGAAAATTCAGAGAAAACAAATTTATTACCAAGAATTGACATGTAGATAAAATGAAAGCTAGTAAAACTAAATTTGGAAATATAAAAGAATAAGGTTTACAATATAAATATAAAACTCAAAGGTAGTAACTAAGATGAAGAATATAAATTATATGCGTTGGCTGGACGGCATAGTAAATAATAATGGCTGAGTAGGTATGTGAATGAAAAAATTATACAAATAAAATTAAAATTGTGGAATCCTGGATTGTTAGACGGAAAGTCTGACCTGAGAAATTGTAAATGGATGACATGGTGGGAAGATTGTCAACTGTCAACAGTTGTCAGATGCTTTGTATGCAAAATACTGATGAATTTTGACAAGGCAACAGCGATTCGTTGAGGTCCGCAGGGAGTGTGTTTCTTGCCAATAATGGGCAACAATCAAAAGATGGAATCGCGAACCGATCCGTGGGTGCCGGCAATGGACGAAGGCTGCAAACGATTGGTCTGAATGATGGGAATCACAGGCAGGGCGTATCTTGCCAATAATGGGCAACAATCGATAGATGTGAGCACAAAGTGATCTATTGGGGTTGACAATGGACGAAGGCTGCAAATGCTTGGTCTGAATGATGGGATTTGTAGGCAATGCCAATAATGGGCAACAATCGGTAGATTTAATCACAAAGTTGGTTTCAGCAATGGATGAAGATTGCAATTGCTTGGTCCGAATGACGTGATCCATGTTTGGTGTGTTTGTTGGTAATATTGGAAACCATTCGGTAGATGGAATCGCAAAGCAATCCCCTGGCGTCAGTAATGGACAAAGGCTTGAATTGCTTGGTCTGAATGACGGGATCCGCAGGCAGTGTGTTGCCAATTTTAGTAAACAATAAATAGATGGAATTGCAAAGTGATCCATAGGTGTCAACAATGGATGAAGACTGCAATCACTTGGCCTGAATGACTGATTCCACTGGTTTTGTATTTGTTGGCTATAATGGGCAACAATCTGGAGATGGAATCGCAAAGCGGGTAAATGGTATTGTTGACAACGGACGAAGGCTGTAAACGCTTGGTCTGAATGACAGGATCCGCACAGTGTGTTTGTTGCCCATTTTAGTAAACAATAAGTAGATGAAATCGCAGAGTGATCTGTTGGCATTGGCAATGGATGAAGACTGCAATCACTTGGTCTGAATGATGGGAATCACAGGCAGTGCGTTGGTTGCCATTAATAGGTAACAATGAGGAAATGGAATTACTCAGCGATCCATTAGCATCGGCAAAGGACAAAGGTTGCAATTGCTCGATCCGAATGATGCGATCTGTGTGTCGTGCGTTTGTTGGCAATGATGGACAACAATTGGGAGATGGAATTGCAACGCGATCTCCTGGCGTAAGCAATGGATGAAGGCTTGAATAGCTTGAATGACAGGATCCGCAGGTTTTGTGTTTGTGGCAATGATGGGCCACAACCAGGAGATGATATGGTGTAGCGATCCGTAGGTCTCAGCAACGGACGAAGGCTGCAAATGCTTGGTCTGAATGAAGGAAATTGCAGGCAGTGCGTTTCTTGCCAATAATGGGCAACAATTGATAGATGTAAGCGCAAAGTGATCTGTTGGTGTCGGAATGGATGAACTTTTGCTTGGTCTGAATGATGGGATCCCCAGGTTTTGTGTTTGTGGCAATAATGGGCCACAACCAGGAGATGATATGGCATAGCAATCCGTCGGCGTCGTCAATGGAAGAAGGCTGCAAATGCTTAGTCTGAATGATGGAAATTGCAGGCAGTGCGTTTCTGGGCAATAATCAGTAGATGAAATCACAAAGTGATCTGTTGGTGTCGGCAATGGTTAAAGGTTGCAATCCCTTGGTTGAAATGATATGATCTGAGTGCCGTGTGTTTGTTGCCAATATTGGACAACGTGGAAATGTTATCGACGACAATGGACGAAGGTTACAATTGCTCGGTTTGAATGACGTGATCCAGAGGCTCTGCGTTTGTTGACAATGATGGACAACAATCGGGAGCTGGAATCACAAAGTGATGAGTCTAATAAACTAAGTACTAAACACGGCTTGTTTTGATTTTTACATGACCAAAGGATGTTTTTACCGCAGGGTTTTTAATACGTTCAATGCAGCTGACCTTCACGGGAGCCAAAGTATCCCAACCAGTGGGACATTTGGATGGGTTACAGCCTTTTTAAAGACAGTTACGGTATGCGGTATAATTAACGTCTTTCCCCATACTAAACTGATTATCACACAGAATAGTTATGACATCAACAAGTAGTTGAATGTTACCCCCCCTGTATGGCAGGATTTTTTTTTTTTAAATTAAATTATTGTTGGAGTTGGGGGAGTATGGACAAAGGGTCAGAGGTGACCATGGGTTCTATAAGCCGAGCTTCTAACATGCTGGTCACTCAGCTATGTCCCTTGGTCTGGAGTTGATAGCTTTTTATATTTGTCTGTTTTCAATTTTCGTAAGTGATGTTGACAATCAAGTACTAATAACAGTAGAAAGGTGGTTTGGACTAAAGGGTAATAGTGAAGGACTGCCAAAAGAGCAGCGATAATGCCACATGGCCCAGAGACTCCTGTGAGTCCAGCGGACTTCAAAAACTACATGAAGAACCTTTGTTGGAAAGACCGGCAGAACTGCTGGGACAGAATGACCGACAAACTAAAGGAGATACAGTCGGTCAAACCGTGGGCCATGGAGATTATGAACGAGAGAAGTTTTGGTTCGACTAAGAATAGGCCACACCAGACACATGGTCATCTCTTGACGAAGAAAAGACTGTGGAGATGCCTCCTGTGTACAAATAACTGTCAAACAAATACTAACAGAATGCAAACTATTGGTGCCACACAGAATAAAATGTGGCCTCTCCTCAAGTTTGAAAGAGGTTTTACAACACAGCAATGACGGCAGTAAAATATTAATGGAATATCTGAGGCAAATAGATGCATATGGTCGCCCTTGATGTTTTTTTTCCATGTGTGGTCTTTTTCCCCTTCCTGCAGTGAGTGTATTTATTGGCATGAATGTGTGTGTGTATGGGTGGGTAGTGAACGGAATATCGAGTACCCCACAGACCCACCAAACTAGGTTAGTTTTCTCTTTGGTATTTTGTGTAGAATGAATGTATTTATTAGCGTGAAATTGAGTGTGGATGGGTGGGTCGAGTACTCAACGTACCCACCGATTTAGGTTAGTATTAGGCTAGGTGTTTCTTGTAGAGTGAATGGGTGGAGGCACTGTTGTAATATTAAATACGCTCTGCATTCTTAACTATACATATATGAGTGGTTATCACTTGAGTGAATGTATTTATTAGTGTGATAGTGGTGTATGTATGGGTGTGTCTATGGTGGAATATCAAGTGCACCATAAACCAACCAATCTAGGTTAGTATTTTATACTCATTGTGCAAATGTAAATTTTAATTGTACATAAATTATGAATGTATTTATTAGCGTGAATGAGGGTGGGTTTTCAACGGAATATTGAGTACTCTGAAAATGGCCCATTAGGCTAGGTAATGATTGAATGTTTGGGTATGATAGTTTTAGATTCTTTTCGCCACATTTGGAGGGGCTAAAAAGTAGAAATAATGTCCCAGAAACTTTACCAGAAAGATCGCCAGTCTTCCTACAGGAGAGCTATCTTATATTTGTAAAAAAAATCTTTAAACGTGAGCTGGAAAAAGAAATGTGAGGTGCTGGCAATAGCCCAGGCAGCAAGCTGACCGTTAAAAAAGTGAAGAATTGACGGTGAGTGTCGGTTTGCGAGTCTGTAATTCATGCTTAACCAGCACTGGGTCACTTATATTTCAGCATGAAAAGTGAAGAAGCTTGATATTTTTGTGAAATAATTTTTGATTTCATTCCATTCTCTGCGAGGCTTGAGTTTGAGTTGACCAGGTGGACATTTCTTGAGAGCATTCAGTGCTTGACATCCGCCTAGAGATGGCATCTTCCATAGTTAACTAGCAAAATTTCAATTATTACACTTTCTAGTGGAGCATTAATAGATCCTTGTGGGATTTACTCTCGATGTCTATAGGGTGATGAATCTGTAATTTAATCGTTTCTAACAATTTTGATCAGCTTATCCTCGCAATTTTGGTCTGACTGAAATGCATCTGTCAGGGGAAAACAAAGAGGAGCAGGCTAAAACTGATCAGAAATGACCAAGCTTTAAAAATATTTTTGGATGGTGAGCATATAGATGTTTTTTATTTATATTTTTTTAATGTCAAAGACAAATAAAAGAGCTTATAAAGGTGGCCATTCACGATCGCTCCTAGCAGTCCAAACGGAGCGATGCCGTTCCAAAAACCACGTCAATGGCAAAACTGAACTGGCGTGCCAGGCTGTGCCGAATATTCGACCAGTCCAAACTTACATCACGCCACTCCAAATATCTACGGCGCGACGACAGCATGGCGTGTTCGTGAATTAGAAAACCTGTTGTGAACGGTGGAATATTGGTACGCTGGCTTGGTCGTGAATGGGGAAACCCGCGTTCTTTTGGTGCAGTCTTCATCTTTCTGTTGCTGAGCAAACATCTTCGTCGTACATTCTCAAAAATTCAAAAACGTTTATTCTTTATTGGTAATAACATCCAATTGAGATTTTATTGTTGAGGTGATTGAATTGTATGAAAGATTACCATGTTTATGGAAAGTGGGGGACAATGATTACCACGATAGAAATAAAAGAAATTCGGTCCTCAACCAGTTGGTCGACCTTTTCAAAACAAAGGATACAAATGCAACGAGAGACGCAGTATTGATAACCCCTAAACGCTGAGCAGAAATCGTAGTAGAGAACTTAAGTGAACTTAGACAACGTAATGTGGCTGCCAACCTTTCATGTAGAGTAATGATTTCTCTTAATGAAAAAATAGTGTCACGAGGGGATTCGAATCCACGACATTCGGCTAAATGCGCTAACCACGAGCTATCGTGACTTCGATAATTCGATCCATTCGGACACCAACTCCCCATCTCAACCTACAACCTTTCGAATTTTCTCTCTTTTTGCCATTTTTTGGTGTCGGAGAGGATCGAAGTCAAGATAGCTCAAGTGGTAGAGCAACGGTGTATTTATCCGAAGGCTATGAATTCCCGCTCGTGGCACTAGCTTTTTCAACCAAAACCTTACAAAAAAGATTAAGTAATTGAAAGAAGTAATTTAGTCAATAGAACACTAAATATAATGAATAAATAAGACATTTCATCCATCCTTAAATAGTTCCTCCAATCAGCGGGTTCAAGGGAAAGATCTTTCATCAAATTGATGTGGGTATTATGGCTTCTGTTCAGGAGCCACTTCTTACACCATTTTCTCTTGGGATTTTTGCTTTTAATATATAAACTAACAGAAGCGTAGCAAAGAGATCGTCATCCATTTTGAGAAGGTAATTCACTGGTTGACGTTCGGAGCGACTGGCTGTCGAGCGTTCGTGAATGCCCCCTCAAATTTCAGGCACTCCAAATGGAGCTGTACGGCTTGGCGAGGTTCCATTTGGAGTGATCGTGAATGGCCACCTTAAGAATCATCAAAATTATTTATACATATACAAGAAATAACCTTAGGCCTTTGTGAGTTATATGACTTGTGCATGTCATAGGTTGTATTCGATAATTGTCATTGCTGATTTTTAACACAGTTAACCAGAACAGAAAGGAAAAGTGAAAAAGTTGGGATGTGAATGATCGGATTGACTGCCAAAACTTACAAATGCTTACGCACACATTTCTACATTTTGGTCATTACTAGCAGGCTTGATTTTTTTACAATTTTCTTTTATTTATAGACGATAACAAACCGAATGGAGGTATATCCAGCCAGGCTAGCTCTAAAGAATTTGATCCGCTCCAGAGCGATGACAAGTCAGTAGAAGAGAAGAAACAATCCGACTCAGGAAAAGGTAAATATGACGAGTGAAAATAAACTAAGCCGAAATGTGACACCGTCTTTTGTTTCAGACACGCCGATATCGAAAGCGGAGGATACAAAGGGGCCTTTGGAAGTACAGCAAGCTGAACAAGCACAGAGGCTGCTTATCCAGCAACAGCAGCAACAACAACAGCTTGCTGCAGCACAATCTGCTGGCATGCAGCTAAGCAGCCATGGCCACCACCCTGGCCACAATGCGGCTGCATTGCAGCAGCAGATGCAGCAGCAAAGTAAGCACTCGATTGAAACAATTTAATTAATCTCAGGCTGATACAATTAAACTTTTTGGCGATACTAGAACAAATAAATTATTAGATTATTATTCAGAAATCATGAGATGCGGTCTGGTGTGATGTAGGTTTCAGAAAAACATTTTCTTTATCGTGCCAACGTTTCGATCTTTATTGAGTCCTGAAGATGATCTCAATAAAGATCGAAACGTTGAACGATAAAGAAAATGTTTTTCTGAAACCTACATCACACCAGACCGCATCTCACGATTTCTGAATAATTATCGATTAACGGTCACTAATTACCACATTTAAATTATTAGAGTTTCCAGTAGTTCTTATATCTTAAACGATCAATCTGCGAGAAAGCAAATTGGTATCTAATTGGTTAAATTATTATTTTTTATTTATTCGTTTTTTGTTTTGTAAGCAAGAAACAAAGTGGATATTCATTTTCAGCACTCCCAATCTCATTGAATTCAAATTTTCAAGAAAATCAAAAAAGAATTTTATCTCAAATTTTTTGCCTTATTTGATTGAAAAAAGGTGATAATTATGAAACGACTTCACCGATCATTAGGAAACTTTGCAGGGGTGTAGAACCCTACAGTTCACACGTAATGGCACAAACCAAGCCTCCTTTAATAACGAGGGGAAAACACCTGACGCAAGGCAACGCGACATGACCCAAAGCCACCCGACGCCAATCCAATGTCCAATTTTCCATAAGATTGTATTACCCCGTGCAGATCTGCCTGACGGTGCTATGTGATGTAACCAAATTCTCCAAGGTCCAGATTTTCGTCGGTTATACTCAATGACAAACACTTTTTTTTTTTTTTTTTTTTTTTTTTTTTAAATTTCAATCCATATGCATTTTTGTCATTATATTAATTATAAATGCTTCCTGTAAACCAAATTAAATGAGATCAAAATTCATCAGTTTTACTAAAAATTATTTAATTTTGATGGTTTGTCAGAAAATTTATGAAAACACCGGGATACCATTTATTGATAGAATGAATAAATCTTGAAACTTAAGTACACGTTAAGTATAAGTCAGTTTAAACGATTGAAACACACGAGAATTAAAAATTGAATGGAAATGTTTTTATTTAAAAAAATTATTATTGAACATATTTTTACACCAGACCAATAAAACATTTTGATTTTTTGTTTTCAGGTTATAGTGTTGGCCAATATTCTGTTACTGGAATGATGCCAGCCTCTTCGTCTTCTTTCAACCAGTATTCACCGTACTTGCAAGGGTATGTACCTAATGTGACTAGTTTTTCCAGTGCCCGAAATACGTTCGACCACCTTGTCAATTCAATATTATCACAGCTGTCATATCCTTGAAGAATTAAATGCCTGCCCTTCCTGCCTGTTTAAAAATTAAAATATAAGGGGTGTCGGTGGCGCAACGGTTTAGGTGTTTACATGGCGCTCATGACTGTAAAGTAAAGGTCCCGGGTTCGAATCCAGCGGTCCTGAATTCGAACCCGCCATACTTACAAATGGGCTTTTCTTAATTTTTTTCAAATTGGCACACTAGGTTAATATAACATCCTAGTTGAAATACTCTCATAAAATAATAACTGTGTTGCCATTTTTATTTATAATTTAATTTTTATTTTAAAGAAAGTTTTTTATTTTAATTTGTTATTGAAGGGGGAGTTGTGTTCAGAACTTTTCTTCTATTTGTTAATAGATTTTGTTATCTCTGTTTGTAATTTGGACGATTTTTTGTTTTCTGTTCTTGTCTGCCTGAAGGGAAACGATGTACAAGCGGCGTTGCAAGTGGAACCTATAAAGCAAAAGTGACAAAAAATAATAACAACTTAAAACTTAATTTTTAGTTTTCTTTTTTGGTTATTTAAACAAAAAAAATTATCAATCTACTGACAGCTAGTTAAGTAAAACTGATTAACTTAGCGTGTTTCCGATGTGATACAATGTACCTAAGATTTTTTTTTCTCAAAAAAAGAAAAATTCTAGTTTTTCTTTTGTTTCTTTTTATTTTTTGAATTTTGAAGTCCTGATTTTGTAATAATAGAGACTTCATTGCCAGGAATGCTGTGTATGGTTTTTAAAAAAGTATTTTCTAATTTATAAAAGTATTGTCCTTGATTTTTTTACATTCCTTCTTCTTTTTTTTATTTTTAAAGAATACTCAAAACAAATTGTAGGAATAAGTTGGATATTTTATAGAGAAATATTTACATTTGATTAAAAATAATTAATTTCTGGCTTCTAGAATCAGTTTTGCTCAAAGACAGTTTTTCTCTTAGAATTTTTTTTATAAGTGATAGACAATAGATCTTGTTTTTATTCCTTGTGTTTTACATAATAACAATGCTATGTATTTGTAAAGAAAATACTGTGCTGCAGTGTTAAGTTTAGCTTTTGAGACATAAAGTCATCTTACCAAAAATAAAAAAATAAAAAATAACCTGTAAATTGTTGTATAACAAAATTCGTTGGAAATAAATTGAGATCTATGATTCAAAGAATTCGGTGTTGATTTTCTTAAACCCCTTTTCCCTTCTTTGGCAGACGTTTAATTTTGTGTTCAGTTCAGTCTTTATTGTGGAAAATTCAAAATCTGCTAACAAACAGAAGAGAGGCACAACATAAATGTTTCTGGTTTGCTCACGGACAGCTCATTTATGACAAGCCGTTTTTGACCAATTTCACCGAAGTGGATTGACAAAACATAAATTCATAATTATGATTTAAACCGACTTCCAAATCGACATTTATCAGGCAGGAACAATGAAAAAAAAATCACACACTTTCAAAATATTTACAAAAAGGTAAGTTAATTATTTTAATCAGAAACAGTTTCTAGAAGAAAAAAAGAATTGCATAAATAAAAAAATACTGCTCATTATTTCTAGCTTTTGAAGGTTGAACTTCAAGATTACATAGAAATAATGAAGAATTAAACTATCCATAAAAGGAAAAAAACAAACGAAAATAATAAATAAACAAAGTTAACTTTAAACTTTGATAGGAATTTAACAAGTTAAGTCTTAAATTTCTCAAAATTTAAACAATGTATTTTCTCTTACATCTTTATTATTATACTCATCAAGTGTTTCTACACAAGGCCTCGAGTTCAATCGAGAAGGGCCTAAGTCAGGCAATACTTTACCTGTTATTTGGATTAGAAACGTCTAAAAGGAAAAATACTTTATAATTTAACAAAAGAAGGAAATTGCAATACTGTTACGAAGAGGAAAAGAAAAAACTTTCAAGAACTAGAAAAAAAAATTTGTCAAGTTGAGTCAAGGCGACGATTGCTCAGCGTAGGGTTGACCAGGAGTTTTTGTGGGTTCCGGCTCATCACAGTTTTTTTGGGTTTCTTTCGGAGGTCATTTTACCCATTCAATGCAGTACAGAAATAAGAGACTATTGCCAGGTACGGGATTTTTTTGACAGGTTGATTCTAATTATTAGCAAATAATGTTTAACGACTCAAAAGTGCAATTTTGTAGGGTTTGAGACAGTGACTTCTACAATGGAGTCTTGGAGAGTATGTGGCGAAAGTCAACACATTTTATCTAATCCCTTAACCATTACAAAAACCTGTTCTGATGACTTTTTCTTCACCAATGTGTGAATGAGGAAAAATATTTCCATGCTGAACAAAAAAGACTGGAAAAAAATTTTTAGATAAGGAAAATTTATTTACATTTGTTTCTATCCGTTTTTAATTTTTGCAAAATGAATTTAAAAAAGAAACAAAAAATTATAAAACAGCGTATTTACAACAATAAAATTACATATTTACAATTTTTTTCATTCATTTGAATTGTTTAAAATTAAAAAATAAAGTTATATAAATTAAAATTTAAAAAATAATAAATATTAACCTATTTTTTATTACTTGAATGATGTAAAAATTTTGTTTTAGTGCAATTTCAAAAACCATGTTTGAGTGCATATTGCTTGTCGCTTGCAGTATGTTTTACGTCCAAACGCCGGCTATGGCGATTCTGGAAACAATATTATGATTATTACAATTACTTAAGGTTTTTAGTTGAGATAAAAAAGTCAATGGCACGAGCGGGATTCGAACCCACAATCTTCAGCTTGATACGTCGCTGCTCTACCACTTGATAGACCTCGATCCACTCGGACACCAACTTCCCATCTCAGCTGCACCTTTTGAATTTCCCCTCCTTTTTGCCATTTTAAAAAATTATTAATTAAAATGGCAAAAAGGAGGGAAAATTCAAAAGGTGCGGTTGAGATGGGATGTTGGTGTCCGAGTAGATCAATGTCACGATAGCTCAAGTGGTAGAGCAGCGGCGTATCAAGCCAAAGATCGTGGGTTTGAATCCCGCTCGTGCCATTGACTTTTTTATTTCAACTAAAAACCTTAATTAATTGTAATATATTAATTGGTCAAGCAGACCATGAAATTAGTGAATTTAATTATGATTATTACACATTGTAAGAAAATAAAAGTATAAATTATAATTTCAAAAAAGTTGAGTTGCAGTAGATGAACTTTGTAATGAAAACAAAGGTAAAATTAATTCTTGTAGAAGAAAATCAACTCAGTAATTTTTTCTAATTACAAAAGCATAAAAAAATATTGGTAATTATTCAGAAATCGTGAGATGCGTCTGGTGTGATGTAGGTTTCAGAAAAACCTTTTCTTTATCATGCCAACGTTTCGACCTTTATTGAGATCATCTTCAGGGCCTGGGAATTACAACATTGTTTACATTTAACAAATACATGTAGGATGTGGAAAAGTGAATTTATACAATGCAAAATATATTTTTTATATTCAATCAAAGAATTTCCAAAAAAAAAAAATATTGGTTTTTACGTAAAGACAAAACTTATTTTTAATTTTAGAAGATATTATTACTTAGAAGAAAGGTCAAACTTGCAAAAAAAATGCGTTTGGAGTATTATCTGACAGTTTAAGGTGAGACTCGAGAACAATGCTCTCAAGAAGATATTCCAGGCTGTTTTGAATCGTTGGAGCCGTATTAAAATACAGTAAAAAAACTTTTAACATGTCAGAGAGAGACGGGCTTGATTCCACTATGGGGTCACCTGCATTGGGCGTGTTAAAGGGGCAGTTGATGATCCAAAATTAGGGATGAATTTACTATTTAAAAAACATTTGAGCCCATAAATTTTGCTCAGATGGGATTTTTACTTTCTGATGTAAAGTGCTCAAAAAAGTCAATTCATGTTTGTGCTAACTGTAATTTAGCGGGGTTAACAGTCAAACCTGCGTCTGCGAGCTATTAACAAAATGTTTCTTACGTTTTTGGAAATCTCCCTAATATATAACCACCTTGTAGAAATAAAAGAACAAATTAAAATAATAAAGTGGCCTAGTATTTTTTCTATTATGTCCAAATGATTTAAAAGCATGTGTCATACGGTACTCAGAAAGAAGTTAATAACCTGCTCTTTTGCAACAAACAAATGATACACATTAGTTGATTAAGAAAATTTAACATTATAAAAAAAATCATACATATATGCATACTTAAACACACACACACACACACACACACACACACACATATATATATATATATATATANACATTAAAAATTAAATCCATTACAGTTCGTGGTTCGATTGACCACTTAAAATTTTTCATTTGATTAATGTGTATGAAAGGTATTGGTTGAGATAAAAAAAGTCATCGTCACGAGCGGGATTCGAACCCACGACCTTCGGCTCAATACGCCTCTACACTATCACTTGAGTTATCGTGACCTTGATCCGCTCGGACACTAACTAACCATCTCAACCTCACCTCTCGTGATGCTGACTTTTTTATCTCAACCAATACCTTTCATAAATATTAATTAATTGACAAATGTTAATAAATAAAATAAATAAAAATTAAAATGGCGTGAAGGCTGGGAAAGGTAAGTAGCCCAATGGCGTCTTAACCTAGTTGTTGTTAAGTAGGTCCCTTGGTCACTCTCCATTTAGACGGCGGGTTGACCTGAAATCCTAGTGATAGAACAATGCGCCAGAGAAATAAAAAAAAGGCTAGGAATACATACTCGGAATATAGTCATTTTCTATGACAGTCAGGCAGCATACGAGGCAAAGGCAAAGAATGTTTGGAACTGCATTGAGGCCCTGACGGAAATCAATGACACTAATGACCTGACCCTGGCTTGGGTCCCTGGACATTCGGGGCATAGAGGCAACGAAAAGGTTGACTGTTGGCCAAAAAGGGGGCCAACATGAACTCTCTGGGCCCAGAACGGTACTGCGGCTTAGCAGCCTGCCACAAAAGAGGGTACATCTTAAAATGGAACCTTAATGAGTGCACCTCATTGTTTCACCACAAAACCTGATAGAACAATTACCACAGGTAGGAGGCACCCGAGTAGATTCATAGAAGGACCATCCGCAAAACTTACGAAAGAATTACTGAAAGACAATCGCAACCAAACCAAGATTTTGATTGGACAGGCACTGCCACTTAAGAAGGCATCTGCACCGGATAGGAGTACAGACAGAAGAAACACTGCGCAGATACTGCCAGGAAGAGGAGAGTGCAGAACATATTTTGTTTCTGTGATGGTCTATGTAGGTGCAGGTTCTTGCAACTAGGACAAGAAAGACCACACCAAAGAGCCACTGGCAAAGCTTTTGAGGTTAATAACCTGAAGCTGGCCAGTGAGTTACAAATAACAGGGGAGCACAATAGATCTATTCAGGTCGAGGTGCAGTAGGACTTGTGGCCACCTCTTTTATCCTTTTCCCTATTTTTATCTTTATAAAAAAAAAACCCTAAAAACTAAACCACCTTTATGAAAACCTTAAAACCAAGACCCCGGTAGTCTCCAACCTCAATGTGGATGTTAATGAGACAGCTGCATTTGTGTATTTTATATTGGTGCCCAAAAAAAGGATTAGCTTTTATATTTTTGCTAATAAGTGCTTAATCGCTTTTCAATTTCACAAGAAAGTCAGGAGTTTTGATTATTTATTAAATAAAATTGCAGACAAAAAACATGTGTAGATATATCAATGTTTTTCTGAATTGAAAATGAATTATTATATTATCTTAAAGTTCATGCTGAGATAGATCATTGTTTTGGCTTGGGATGATGCTGAAAAATTCTGATATATTAAGGGATGGATGCCATAAACAGAAAATATTTGGTAACCGCTGCTCTATAACATTTATTAATTTGTCCATCAGAGTGTTTTTGAACTGACATTTTAAAAATTAGTCCAAACTTGGGTCAAAGTTGTCTTTTTTGGGAACAGCCCCGATTCAAAGTTGCTTCTCAGTCATTTATTTTCTTCTCAATCAACTGTGAGGAACTAATACCAATATCCATCTGTTTTCATGACTTGTGGGTTATTTGCGACAAAATCATAAATTCAGTCACTTTTAGTTGTAGGATGACTAGAACAC